GTTACACTATGTGTCAATATGTTACACTATGTGTCAATATGTTACAAAGCATGTCATTGATATGATACAAAGTATGTCAGTATGTTACCTGTTCTATACCCGGTTGTATGGGGTTGTACAGGGGGCGTGTCTCAACATGCTCTTTGACTATAGGGAGGGTATTCAGTACATGGAGGGCAAGTCTCTCATCCGGCTGTCCAAGGTCAGGGTCAGAGCGTGGATTCACCTCTGTAAATATATCCACAATTACAACATTTATATACTTTTTCTTATAATAACTTAAGGTTTTTACCCTATGAAGTCATACCAAATTATGTTCATGAAAATATCACAGCAAGATTGTAACTGACCTAAGTATGTAACAAAAATAACATTACTTCAAATAACTGCGAATTTGAAGGAAAAGGGCAACCAAAGCCACGTAAATTCTTGATTTAAATGTTTTGATAATTTAACTAATAAATATTACAAAATTTGATAGAATTACATGTAAAGTTACGTATCTCATTAAGAGAGTAATTTCTGAGACAGGTAGAGGTCGTACCAAAGTCGGACAGGCTGTACGTTTTATTGGCGACCTTGACACTGTTGGTGCCGTAGAACAGGGGGCCTGTCAGGTGGTTCTTCTTACAGTACCAGTCCAGGATCTCCTTTGGTTTCTGGCTGTCTCTCCACTGGTTCACACCCGCTCTGTTCACAGATAGATAAAAGGTACTAGTTCACATACTGGTAACCTGTTCACAAATACACTGTTCACACCCATTCTATTCAGATTGATAGATCAAAGATACTGGTTCACATTTACTTGTTAATTTTAGTTATACTAGTTCACACTTAACCAGTGCACAGATAGATGGATAAAACTTGCCCTTGACCAACCTGTTCACAAAGATAGTTGAAAGTTTTCTAATGCGGTTCACAACTATTTACTTACACATAGTAGGACTTAGGGATGCCACATGTAGCTCTGTGTTTTGACAGGAAGCGGTTCTCAAGGTCAATGATGGTCTCCCCTATGAGGTCATCGCTGCTAATGATGTCATAGTCCTTGATCCTCACAATCAGATCCTTCTTCACTGGTAGAGTACACTTCAAGTCAAACGTCCTGTAGGCCAAAGGTCAATGGTACACAGGTCAAGACTTAGTCAACAACAGACCATTAATAAACATATACAGTCCAAAGGTTAGCCACAAGTTAAGATTCAACATACTTAACACATATAAAGGTCAAAGGTTGATTACATGTCACCTAGCAAATTACTAGCTGATTTGGCAAGGAATATCAGAATTACTCTTTAGCTTATCAGGTAAAGCAAGAAACAAGTAAACCAGAGGTCCTGGGTTTGATCCCTTACCAAATAGTGTCACACATTATAACCAAGGAAATGTTCAAAGGTAACATTAGTGTCAAATATTGTAACCAAGGAAACAGATAAAAAAAAATGGTCTCAACACAATATAGGCAAAAAAAACAAAAAGGGGATTTAAAAGAAACAAGTAGGATACTTTTTTAATGTTGATCATATCAAAGGAAGAATGACCTACTTTCCAAAGACAGGTTCGATGGAGTTTGGTATGTAATCATCTCGGCTGCTGACCTTTTTCTTGCCTAGTTCAATCTCCACGTAGGGATCAGCCTGTGGAGGGAAGGGAAACATTTAGTTAGGTGCCACATCTTCAGTGTTACTCTGTCTGTTGGTACACCAGATACCGTACACTGATAATTTTTTTGAAACTCTACATCAACATTCATGTTTGGAAGTTTAATCAATTTTGTATTCACTTTAGATCTGCAACAGACATAAGAATCTGAACAACACAACTGAATTTGTATCTATTTGGGACCATATTTCATCAGAACTTTTAATCTTGTAAATTACCGGAGAGATTTTCCAACTGACATGTTTTTAAAGAGATATTAATAATGTGAGACAACTTACCAGTCCGCTCGTGTCATTGGGCTGCAGACCTATACCACAAATGACATAAACACGTACAATACACTCCTCTGGTGTACTTGGGGGTAAATTACTAAACACTCGATCAGGCAGAGGCTCGCCCGGGGCAGGGGGCAAAGGGTACACCTTAAATGAGCCCTGTAACAGAAAATATGGTTATTTATACATAGATCAATCAAACTAAGGCATATTGCAACAGATTCAGTCTAGTAACAGATCAGCTGTAAAAGACAACACAGACTAATTAACCATACACAACTGATTCAGTCCAATTTTGTTCTAGCCCATGTGTTTTTTTCACATGCAATTATCTCAAATTTGAGTTACATGCTCTTTAAACAAAAAACAATTTTACAACTAAATTATTTATTGTAAAATGTATTTGGGAGTAACTTTCATTTAAAAGATAAAAAAAAGTTTGGCATGCAATCGCCTATTTATAGTCATTAGCCCTGATTGCTTACTGTGGTCCTTGAACACTTGATTTAAACTTCAACTTTAATATTTCCTTCTCAGTTAAAAAAAAAAAGAAACTTGACCTTTCTGACGATTCCTGTTGACCTTGAACCACTTATCCTATTCAATATTAACATTCTGTTGTGATCCTAAGCTAATGATTGCTATCAAACATTACCTTGAATTGACCGACAACATTTCCTTCTTCGTCTTCCTCATCTTTGCCACGTGATAAGTCGAAGCAGTGACAGAAATCATCAAAGGACCTGTAGTTCTCTGACTTCTCCAGCTCATTAGTGAACACCTAAAAACAAGGTAGAGGAAAGTCTAACACCCAGAAATCATCAAAGGACCTGTAGTTCTCTGACTTCTCCAGCTTATTAGTGAACACCTAAAAACAAGGTAGAGGAAAGTCTAACACCCAGAAATCATCAAAGGACCTGTAGTTCTCTGACTTCTCCAGCTCATTAGTGAACACCTAAAACAAGGTAGAGGAAAGTCTAACACACAGAAATCATCAAAGGACCTGTAGCTCTCCGACTTCTCCAGCTCATAAGTGAACACCTAAAAGCAAGGTAGAGGAAAGTCTAACACACAGAAATCATCAAAGGACCTGTAGTTCTCCGACTTCTCCAGCTCACTAGTGAACACCTAAATCAAGGTAGAGGAAAGTCTAACACACAGATATCATCAAAAGATATGTAGCTCTATGACTTCTCCAGCTCATTAGTGAACACCTAAAACAAGGTAGAGGAAAGTCTAACACACAGATATCATCAAAAGATATGTAGCTCTCCGACTTCTCCAGCTCATTAGTGAACACCTAAAACAAGGTAGAGGAAAACCTAATACACAGAAAATTATCTAGAAATGAACAAACAAATTTGGTCACCTCTTTTAATTTGTTCTTCAATAGTAACTGACTGCAAATTTCTTATTCATTCATTATTATGTCCTGTTAGAAAATACATTCATAGTTTCATGTTGGAGCCAGTTTCTATTTACCTTCACCTTTGCTATAGTAAACTGTTACCAAGAGGTACAGGAACCTTTACCATGCCTAACTTACTCTGTTCATGGTATATGTGACCTTGACATTTTTGACAGTGTAACCTTGACCTTGAAGGACCTACCTTGACCTTGTCCATGCCTTTCTGGAGGTACTTGCGACATTTCGTTGTGTCCCCTATGGACGCGTAGTATTTCGACCACCAGTCTAGCTCTTCAATATCCTTAACTTCTGGCTGTTTAAAAAAGATAAAAAAATAAATAAAAAAAATACTATTTTCTATATGATTTCTATACTAATAAGCTGCAACAAAGCAAAAAACCTGCTTTAACCCTTTCACCACAGTGGACCATAATGGACTCACCCAGATCAATGCATGGTACAGTTTGGTAGAGTTTACTAAAGTTACATAGGGGTGAAAGGGTTAAAAGCATGATTTGAGTACAATGCATGGACTTTATCGATAAGACTCCATCTGTAATGGTTGTATGCCATTTTAAGCAATTAAGCTAATTAGGACAAATGACAGCATTATTTTCAAAATGTAAAGTAATTCATGCAATTGTTCAGGAAACAATTTTTGTTGGACAGACACATAGACAGTGCCCAATTTAACATCCCCTGCAAATGATGTTGCATGAATAAAAAGTCGGATTGAAAATTATCATATCATTTATAAAACATGATTTGATACTCTTTATTGGTATATTTAAGATTTTGATAGATGGAGTTGGTGATGAATGACAAAATTGAAAATAATATTTTTCATTTTACATCAATGGTCTACAACTATTAGGTTTGCTGATAACATATATTTACATAACTATGTATATTTATTTATTATCTGGCAAAATGTATTGAAATTGAAAAAAAAATCAAAGAAAATACCGAATCCTATCATTAAAGTTCTAAATCTTATTATTTTAAAAGCAATGAAAATTTATTGAGAAAGATACAACAAATATATATTAAAAAAATACAAGTAATAAATCTAACATTTTTTTTTACTAGATTGAAAATCGTCATGCAGTAAATTCTGGATTATAAAATGATTGAGAAAACACGTCAGATATACCAACAGATAGCACAACAGACATTGAGAAAAATCATGATCAAATTCATATAAAGTTTTAAGATCTGCAAATGTAAAAACGCTCATGACCACTTCAACCATAATAACCAATGAATGATCTATGATTTTAACAAAATGAAAGTTTAGTCTGTGAAATTTGGAAACTGAGTTATCAGTTATCATTTTATTACTAATTTATTACAAAAACTAACAAGATTTATTCTGAATAGTGAATTTTTCATAGTTTTTGAAAATTAATTTGTAATAAATTAGCAGGCATATGAGTTTATAAGGTACATTGTATATCAATTCCTGGTTTTGTAATAGGCCTCTGACAGGAAGCAGGATAATGTTTCTTTTCAGATATTGTAGTGTGATCTGTAGCAAACCAGGTTTAATTGTAAACATGTCTGAATGAACAAAATTCAGAAAATCAAAAACAAACCTGGTAATGAACATTTGTAAAAAGTTTAAGCTTCAGTTAAAAAAAACATCCATAAATAATGGAGTTGAAAATATTAAGGGCTACAGATAATGTTTAAAAAAAAAAATGAATCAAACTTTTAAACAGATTTACATCAAATGAAAAGCTGATTTAATTGACTCATTCACCCCTGAAATTTCATAATAACTACAGTCAAACCTTGTTATCTCGAAGTCGATGGGGGTCATGGAAAAAGTTTGAGTTATCCGAGTATTCGGGTTATGCAGGTTTAGATACCGGTATTTGGTATGAAATTTTTCTGTTTTGACATAGCACTAGCAGTCGTTGATTTGTATCAATAGCAAATGCTTACAATCAATTGATGGATAAAATCTGAACACTGTTAAGTAGACGATATTTTGATGTTGGATTTACGTTGTTGAAACTGATATCTTTCTTTGAGGTATCCAAGTTTTTTGAGTTTCCAGGGTTCGAATTATCAGAGTTTTATTTACTAAGATAAAGAATAGATTTGGCCGGGACCGGAGAAATACTTCGAGATAAAGGGGGTCTTCAAATTATAAGAGTTAAAGATAACGAGGTTCAAGTGTATTCCAAATTTTGAAATGGAAGAGTTCAAATGTGTCTTCCGGGGTGAATGAGTTAATACTCAACAAAAATTTGCAGGCCATCCTTTTAAATATCATTTTTGAGTGTAAGTAAAGAATGTATTGTTAACAATATTTGTTTGTCACCAAAACTATTCATATAAAAGGAGTTTTCCAACACCCTCCAGCCGACTACTGTCCCCAAGAACACGTACCAACATTTAAATAGGATTTATAGAGAATGAGAAAGGTATAAAAAAAACATAACTAAAAAACAATCATTATTACAGTAAGATTGTTTTGATATTAGATTTGAAAGAGGATGTAATTCAAATTTCAAATCTTCATAAGGCTTTCAACATTAAAGGCAGTAAATACTTACATTTTTTATTTTTTCATTGTAGATTTATTTCCTATTATGCATGCAAATCATGAAATGTAATGAAAAGAAACAAAACTGATAAAAGAAGAAATTTTACTTTTACAGCTGAGAGACAACCATTTTCTCTCAAAAAGTGTGTGCATCTAAAAGTTATGCTACCACCAATGAAGAGACATCTGTATAATAGGACCATCTATTGTAACAAATAACGGAACCATAATCATAGTACCGGTATAACCATGAGGAAATGCAATGTATATCTCAAGTCTTACCGACTTTTCAGTGTAAGGACTGGATATCATAACTATTTAATTTGTTAATGCCATTTTCGTTACAAGTTTGTGTAGTTACTGCGTGGAACATTGAATTTAATAATTCATTAATGTTTCCAGTCATATGGGTGCAGTTTAATTAAGGAATTTCTACTTTTATCAAAATATCCAATACACAACATTTTTACTGACTTGTTAGTCTAACAAACTAGCCCTGGAGTGCAGAAAATAGAAACATCAAGTTGTGTGTCTGTGGACTAGAAGTCACACATCAGCCATGTGCCTTGTCTTAAATAAACATTTACAACACCAGAGGAGAGTAGGAGTAGAAGACCAGTATAACGAGTACATGAAGAGTAACAAAATGATGTTTGTGACACCAGAGGATTGCAAACCTCCAAGTCCTTCTGCTTGGACGTCATAAAAGACGGTAAATCTAGCTGGGGAAATGTCATCTTCTTTATTCCCAATATCGATTTGGCACTCTTTGTAAAACAAATCATTATATAAAATGTTAATTCATGTTGTGTTTTTGTTACATAACTTGTTTACTAATATTTCAACAATACAAACACATGTATTAAGACTAAAAACCCTTTGTAACTATGACAACATCTAGTATGCACCCGCCAACATTACGCCACCTTCTAGTATAAAAGCAAGCTACATGTAAGCATTTCAAGGGAGGTAATTACTGGGAGACAACTGGGATATTAGATGCAGGGAAGAAAATCCTCCATTTTCTACCATAAATCACCTTCTTATCCATGGATATTGCAGATGAAATCTTTTCTCTAGCTTTGCCAAACCTGCCCTGTGTAGCAGTGTAACAAAGCATAACAGCAATGTCTCAAAGTTAAAAGGCAACTTAAAACTAACACTTTGATCTATAAATTATTACAATTTATTTAATAATTTAATTCCTTATAACATATATTCAATGTAATATGTCTATGAATTCTCATTACATTACCTGGCATAGAGAGTGAAACATGATGTGTTTACTGAATGTAAATGGATGAAAGGTTTTTAATTGAAACAAAAACTTTTCAATAATTGCATGTATTTTCCAGAGTAGACAGTTATATACAGCACAGAAGGATGAAACTAACATTTAGCTTTACACACATACTGGACTACTCAGGTAATGGTTTAGACAGGAATACTGAAATGGGGATTACAGCTGTTAACTAATAACAGCTTGAGAATTCTACGGTGTCTTGACTATTTACCGGAGCTAACATTTACCTAACTTAGTTAAATACCAGGGCCCATATGTTTATGATTATTTACCGGAGCTAACATTTACCTAACTTAGTTAAATACCATGCAGGGGCCTTATGTTTAGACTTAATCAGCCCAACAATAACGTAATGCAAATTTCTGATCCAGTATATTACAAATAAATAAAAATTCAAGACTAAATCTGTATCAAAAACAAAAAGCATTTCTTGAGATTTAAAATTAGCATCTACAGACCTGGAATATGTTCTCAAAATATGTTTTTTTATTTATTTTTTTGGACTCATAATATAAGGTAATCAGAGTTCGAACAGCTGGGCCGAGGTATTGTATCCCTAGGTTTATACTTAGGTCATATACCTTTGTATAACATATCATAGGTTTATAGGGGATATATAAACACACATACTGGTGCGACTAATACAAATCTCTGTAGGCGTTCGTTACATTGTACCAGGTACCTACCTTGGTTTTATTGTCAGCAGGCATGTCAATGATGGTGTCTCCACCCGGACCGTTACCCACAATTCCACCTGGCATCCAAAATGAAAAATAATTATGACATGATGTAAATTCACAGACAGATAAATGCTTTTATTTTTTAATTTAATCTTTATTCTATAAAGCATTATTTCTTTCTTTATCATTTAAATCAATAGAAGTTATCAGAATTATCTTGATGATAATTTTCATGCAAAGAATATAGAAATATAGAGTTGTTTTCACCAATTTCAGCACTTGTTCAACAGAGAAAAAAGATTCTATAAAACAGTTGCCATGGTAACTACAACACTAAGCTGAACAGAGCAGTGATGTCACCGTTTACTCCAGGGGGTGAGACAACAGACCAAAGACACCCTGAGGGGCAAGTCTGGAGGGGGCTCCTGATCTACTACAAGTCAAGGGTCAGGGTTTAACTGGGTTATCATGTTATTGTAGGTCAAAGGGCAAGGAATGCCTAACAACTACAGGTTACATACAAAGTGGACTTTGAAAAGATATAACAAATGTTCAGGAAAGTTTTTTCTACCAGAGAATCACTTGTTAAAGTTATACAGTAAAATATAATTACTTGTATAAAATATTAAGGGCGAAAGGTCATTTACATGATTGAAAATCAGCACTACTTACACACAGATGTAAAATGTGTTTTAAACCAATACTGCCGACTGCAGTCTGACTGGTTCTCAGAACCCCATCAGAACATCACTCTTAGAAACAATAATGAGAAAATCTCAAGGAAACAGTTATTAATTTGTGCAATATTATTTACATGTAGACAAGTTTTTATTTTTACTACCAATTAACATGATTTGAAGCTGTCCTTAAAATGTCACAAAAGACATTAATAAATTCTTCCATAAATTCGCTACAGCAGTCACACATGCGCCGGCCTATTTTTAGTCAATATGCTGTTAGAATGATAAATGGAACAAGAACACAAAGATAGTGGAGACACTTTTTAACGAGGATTTCACTTCTCTGTAAGGAAGATAGCATACTCCTATGAGGCACTGTTTCATGGTGGGAAATTAAAGACACTGATCATATCTCTTAACCAGGTTGGACATTTGGAGCACCTGTCATACTTGTCAAATTGGTATGAAAAGTTGGACATTAGGGGCCCCATGTTATATTTGTCTATGTACAAGGCTCATAATAAGGGGCACCTGTCATGTTTGTTTTTGTAAACTGACAACTGTAAGGGCCAGGTAGCTCTATTAGAGGTATATACAAGGATAAGATACCTTTTTATTCTGATTATAAGTGACCACAGGGTGTCTTTAGCAAGGGCTTTTCCAGAATTAACAAATAGAAGGTCTTGGGCGACACTACATCCCACTGTCCCCGTTTTTCCAATATTAAACCAATCATCTAGTCTTCCCAGATTGTTTCATTTTACCTTCATTTATAATAATATTACATTAAAGCTTTAATTTTAGATTAGATAAAAAAGATAAACAAGTACACGGAAATCCACTTTCAGAAGTTAGGTAAAGATATCCTAAAAGTTTATACCGGACGGTAGTTGAAGTGCCTCCCTATACACCTCCTGCGAGGTTGATTTTGGAAAAGCCGTATGGTCTAACTACAGGAAAGCTTCACTAGAGGAGTATACACAGATCTACACAGGCTAGCAGTCTGTTAGTATTAAATAGAGTCGAGGATTAGTGTAGGGAAGACGTGCAAGCTGTACTAATAATAACTAATGTATACATGGTACATGTACTATGATACTAAGCTGAGACAGGTTCATTTATTTTGTAGTCATTAACATTTTTTCAGGCAAAACATGTATGTGTCAACTCCTGACTAAGCAGCGGTGGGATGGATGTCTACCATAACACATATGTGTCAACTCCTGACTGTTGTACTAAGCAGCGGTGGGAGGGATGTCTACCATAACACATAAGTGTCAACTCCTGACTATTGTACTAAGCAGCGGTGGGAGGGATGTCTACCATAACACACATGTGTCAACTCCTGACTATTGTACTAAGCAGCGGTGGGAGGGATATCTACCATAACGTGTCCATGTTTCGTCAATCCCTACACCGACACAGGTAATACTAAGCATTGAGAGTAATGAACAAATGACTTTATAACATGTGGTATATATAATGCTGGAAGCATGTTCATTGGTTGAAAATTATGTCACAATGCTTTGAAACATCGTGCTTCAAATGGAATTGCTTTGTGATGTCATGCATGATTTGTGGAGAACTTCTCCAAGTGTTAAATTGGAATTATGCATGAAATATTGCTTTCTTTACATAATATGAAAGTTTTGGTAGAAACAGATTTCTCTACCAAAACACAGTGAGATTTCTTCATCATAGTATACTGTTTGTACAATATATCTATTTGTCTGTTTTTTAATGTAATGCAACATGCAACAGCTTGAAAATATACCAAAACGGTGAAAATCTATCTTTCATAAAAGGTAATCTGTTCGTTCCGACATGCAAATGGCTGGTTAATGTGTTAACATCTAAATTTAAATATGACGGAGGAGGAAATTGTTTAAACAGTCACTAGCACCACTACATGTGTATGTTAATATTGAATGTGTTGATATGGAGTTAAGACTGATGGGAGGTGGGGGTGGTGGGTGGAGATTGGGGTAGTTGAGGGAGGGTGTGAAGGAAGGAGGAGTTAGACTGATGGGAAGTGGGGGTGGTTGGTGGAGATTGGGGTAGTTGAGGGCGGGTGTGAAGGAAGGAGGAGTTAGACTGATGGGAGGTGGGGGTGGTTGGTGGAGATTGGGGTAGTTGAGGGAGGGTGTGAAGGAAGGAGGAGTTAGACTGATGGGAGGTGGGGGTGGTTGGTGGAGATTGGGGTAGTCGAGGGAGGGTGTGAAGAAAGGAGGAGTTAGACTGATGGGAGGTGGGGGTGGTTGGTGGGGATGGAGGTAGTCGAGGGAGAGTGTGAAGGAAGGAGGAGTTAGAATGAGTAGTATGTATTTGTGCATGCCACCATGACAACAGCTGGACACTAGACTGGACCACAGCAGCAGATACACGGTAGGGTGGGCCAGACACTAGACTGGACCACAGCAGCAGATACACAGTAGGGTAGTCCGGACACTAGACTGGACCACAACAGCAGATACACAGTAGGGTGGCCCGGACACTAGACTGGACCACAGCAGCAGATACACAGTAGGCCTAGGGTAGCCCATAACTTTACAATAAAGATACAGTAAAAATACAATAAGTAGTGGTCAGTTAGACTGACCATGAGGATATATTTACAACATCAATCTCACACTGTGCATCATCACTGGGGCTCTATTTCTACCCAAACTGTCACACTGTCAATAGTTTTAGTTCACTTAGTCAAGGTATCAAACTCTTTGCTGACTTACTCTGTTAAATGTATCGAAAATAAATCCTAACCAGATCAATCAAACACTGATCTTACCTGTGTGTATAGCTATCCATCATGTACTATATTCTTTTCCACCTCATCTTGACCTTGTATTTCTATTCCACACTGATCTCAATCATGCATATAGCTAGATATATTCATTAATTCTTCACGGACATCTTTTTATTATACAAATGCGACAAGCTACAAAGCACGACTACGTATTTACCTTCCGCTGGCTGTAAGCATAGATAAATGATAAGTACATATACTTCAGGTTATACAAGTCACATGACAAGTATACATCGTGTCACATGACATGTCTACATCAAACCCCATGACAAGCCCCACATAAAGTCACATGATAAGTCTACATCATGTCACATGACAAGCCCTACATGTACATCAAATCAGAGGACAAGCTCTACATCAAGTCACATGACCAGTCTACATCAAGTCACCTGTTAAGCCCTACATCAAATCACATGACAATTGTCTTCAAGTCACATGACAAGCTCTACGTCAAACCACCAAACTAGTACAGGCCACTTCCACCTCAACCCTTGACAGAATGTTCTTGGCTTCCCGCTATGCTATCTCAGTCTGACTCTTGCCATATTAGCTAGTTTATAAAGTTTTAAAGTCATAGAAATACGTTAAGAATAGTTACACATATTATCATGTAATCTGGCTGCTTTGCAGTGAAGTAACACCATCACATTAAACATTTGATATGTTACATGTGTAGTTTGACTTATTGTGATGTCACGAAAAATGCTATGATGAAACCTGTATTTAAAATTCACAATAATTTCAAAAGAGATTTCCTTCCATTTTCTGGTATAAATATTCACAAAATGTGTTAATATACAAGCTTTAGTTAAGCATATAATAAAAAATATTTCTCAAACACACAGTTTGTATGCATGTCTATGTTTATATGTAGTCTTTAATCTGACACTGATAGTGTCCTCCTACACAATGCGTTGACCTCTACTCTGAGATGACTACAGCTTTGTTAAGCCCGAGTGTACTCATCCAATATCAATTAAAATGTCCAAACTTCCAGTGACCTTGACTGTGAACTATTTTCAGTGACCTTGACTGTGAACTATTTCCAGTGACCTTGACTGTGAACTATTTCCAGTGACCTTGACTGTGAACTATTTCCAGTGACCTTGACTCCTGACCCTGCCTTTTTTTTTTTTAAATCTGTCCAAGTTTATAAGTACACAAAGTGTACATTACAACCAGTAAATAGTTTGTGTTCAATCTAGAAAAACAACATGAATCCATTGACCAAGACAGGTCAAACCATTTTATGGAATTCCTATTTTTTGACTCTGTATACACAGAAACTATATGCATTTTGACAGTGTGACCTTAACTTTCAACCAGACAACTGAAATATATCTAGCTTGTCTATGTGAGTTTCTGTCTATCTCAGATCCATCAAGATTTCAAATGATTTATATTAATGACAATAATCTAATTTTTAAAACCAAAACGGCTGATACGCAGATGTCTGGTAATAAGCTCACCCATCTCGAATACAATTCAGATCTGATTTTAAATAATGTTTGAACTAATCCCTCAGTAGGGCATGGCTACAGTACAGTGTTGATGTTAGTATGGTCACTTTCTGTCAGCTTAAACCGTTAAAAGGGATTTTCTAAAATGAAATCGTCCTTTATTTGTTAGTAGTCTTCAACAACCAACAGAACCCCAAAACCATGTTAGTCTTGCTGAGAGCTCGCCAAACTAGTGGTATCAATTATGTGCAGAAAATAAAACTGTTAAGATATCAGAACCAACGTGGGGAAAAGGTTATGGTAAATGTTCCAATCAGTTTCAAAAGTTCAAAGTCCAAACAAATACAACACTGAATTTAAAAATGTAAAAAAAATATATACTGAAAATGGAAGAAAAAATAGGATATCACAATAAGTTTATATAAAAAAAAATGAAGTTTAAAAAACAATCATGCTAAAATTTACAAATTTCAATCAATAAAATTTAATGAAACAATCCTATTATAAATCTAATTATCTGAAAAACTGGAACCAAATGCTAAAATGGTTAATCTATTATATAAGAGATAATTTGTAATTAACCATCTCTATAGTCACTACGATCTATTCTACAGTATCAATATAAAGAAACCAAGAACTAGTATAGTAAGTCTATGAGGCTGATTAATGGGGAAATAAGATCATATAGTATTTTATATCTTGTCGCCAAAAAGACAATTACTTTATTGCTGTTGATATGTATTTTAAATTATGTGAAATGCAATAATACTCTCATGGTTTAAATTAAATTAACTAGTTTATATTTCTGCAAATAATTTTAAGTACAGCAATAAACACTTAACCTACAATAATAACATGTTATCATGTTTTCTTCATATACTGAGAAATACTTAATCAATATTTGTGGATTAGTTTTGGGGCACTGCTGAACTTGACTAATATTAATTGTTCTGTGAGGGGTGGGACAGGGGTCTAGATGTGAGGGTGTCTCACCCCCTGAGTATCCGCCACTGAGGGTCCCCGTGTCAGCTCGCTGGGAGATATCAGAGAGCCTCTGAGTGGATAGGTCTAGCAAAGCAACAAAAGGAACTGAACCCTGATCATCTTCATCCTGGGTTATTGCTGGGACTGCTGGCTGACAGCGGAACTCTTCAAACGTTTTCAGGACATGGATTCCAACCGTCGGCTTGCGGCCAAACTGGCGATGGTCCCGCACACGAATGTTCATAGGTGGCATGTACAGCTCCTCACGCGGCAACATCTGGAGGACAAATAAAAACATTTCTGTGTATGATACAGTTTTAAAATGTATCCTATCTGCACAAAGGAAATAGCACTATATTCAAAGGAAAAGGTAAATTACACATAAGCTAGTAAAAATATATTAAATTCTGTTTGAAAGATCATTTATTAGTGTTTTTGAGATTTGTGGCGGTATTAACAAAGAATTCCAGCTTTCAAAGGGAGACAACTGAATATATATAAGTTAAGCACCATTAAGTTTTTTCTAAACTGTGGTTAAGTACCAATGATTGAGCGGATGTCCAGTTTATGTGTTCTGTTTGTCTCTTGGAGATGTAGAAAAGAGTGATACTCTGCTGTCGATCACTGGAGTGAAACTTTAAACTAAGATATTAAACAGCATAAAGCCAGTCACACCAGTTAAAACTAAGATATCAAACAACATAAAGCCAGTCACACCAGTTAAAACTAAGATATCAAACAACATAAAGCCAGTCACACCAGTTAAAACTAAGATATCAAACAACATAAAGCCAGTCACACCAGTTAAAACTAAGATATCAAACAACATAAAGCCAGTCACACCAGTTAAAACTAAGATATCAAACAACATAAAGCCAGTCACACCAGTTAAAACTAAGATATCAAACAACATAAAGCCAGTCACACCAGTTAAAACTAAGATATCAAACAACATAAAGCCAGTCACACCAGTTAAAACTAAGATATCAAACAACATAAAGCCAGTCACACCAGTTAAAACTAAGATATCAAACAACATAAAGCCAGTCACACCAGTTAAAACTAAGATATCAAACAACATAAAGCCAGTCACACCAGTTAAAACTAAGATATCAAACAACATAAAGCCAGTCACACCAGTTAAAACTAAGATATCAAACAACATAAAGCCAGTCACACCAGTTAAAACTAAGATATCAAACAACATAAAGCCAGTCACACCAGTTAAAACTAAGATATCAAACAACATAAAGCCAGTCACACCAGTTAAAACTAAGATATCAAACAACATAAAGCCAGTCACACCAGTTAAAACTAAGATATCAAACAACATAAAGCCAGTCACACCAGTTAAAACTAAGATATCAAACAACATAAAGCCAGTCACACCAGTTAAAACTAAGATATCAAACAACATAAAGCCAGTCACACCAGTTAAAACTAAGATATCAAACAACATAAAGCCAGTCACACCAGTTAAAACTAAGATATCAAACAACATAAAGCCAGTCACACCAGTTAAAACTAAGATATCAAACAACATAAAGCCAGTCACACCAGTTAAAACTAAGATATCAAACAACATAAAGCCAGTCACACCAGTTAAAACTAAGATATCAAACAACATAAAGCCAGTCACACCAGTTAAAACTAAGATATCAAACAACATAAAGCCAGTCACACCAGTTAAAACTAAGATATCAAACAACATAAAGCCAGTCACACCAGTTAAAACTAAGATATCAAACAACATAAAGCCAGTCACACCAGTTAAAACTAAGATATCAAACAACATAAAGCCAGTCACACCAGTTAAAACTAAGATATCAAACAACATAAAGCCAGTCACACCAGTTAAAACTAAGATATCAAACAACATAAAGCCAGTCACACCAGTTAAAACTAAGATATCAAACAACATAAAGCCAGTCACACCAGTTAAAACTAAGATATCAAACAACATAAAGCCAGTCACACCAGTTAAAACTAAGATATCAAACAACATAAAGCCAGTCACACCAGTTAAAACTAAGATATCAAACAACATAAAGCCAGTCACACCAGTTAAAACTAAGATATCAAACAACATAAAGCCAGTCACACCAGTTAAAACTAAGATATCAAACAACATAAAGCCAGTCACACCAGTTAAAACTAAGATATCAAACAACATAAAGCCAGTCACACCAGTTAAAACTAAGATATCAAACAACATAAAGCCAGTCACACCAGTTAAAACTAAGATATCAAACAACATAAAGCCAGTCACACCCATTAAACCTAAGATATCAAACAACATAAAGACAGTCACATCAGTTAAAACTAAGATATCAAACAACATAAAGCCAGTCACACCAGTTAAAACTAAGATATCAAACAACATAAAGCCAGTCACACCAGTTAAAACTAAGATATCAAACAACATAAAACCAGTCACACCAGTTAAAATGGCGCCCCATCTTACCACATCGAAGAAGAGAACGGATTCATCAAAGTTCGGGTTCTTCTTGGTATTCTTGATGACCTTTGAAGACACCAAGTGGCCACCACATTCAAACTCAATACTAGGGGAGGTAACTCCTGCCAGCTGGAACTTCTTCATATTCCTCACCCCCCAGCAGAGCACCTGTAAAATTTGATGATCAAAAATAATCAATACAGCACCTTTAAGTGAATCACATGCTATCTAACATTGAGAAAAGGATTGTCTTTTAATCAAAATTTTGTTATACAATGTACATAGGTTGATACAATGTGTAAAAGATTTTGTTATACAATGTACATAGGTTGATACAATGTGTAAAAGATTTTGTTATAAAATGTACATAGGTTGATACAATGTGTAAAAGATTTTGTTCAAAAACAAATTATTAACATGGTACCAGGGTATCAAAAAGTAGCTTCCCCTTACCTCAACACCAGTTCTCTGCATAACTGGCCTGATGCCATTTGGAACCAGAAACAGGTTTCCTTTCTTTGGAGGCAAGAATGGCAGGTCCCCTCCTCCAACCTGCAAGTATAATTATCATTTTAATTTCAAAACTGATATATGTAAAACAGATTTGGAACTTGAAAAATATTTCATGAAAATTATTGATAGCTCTCGCATGGTCAAGGTTATAAACATATTAACCTATACCTACCAAATTATATAGGTGTTTGTTATTTAACATAATGCAAAACACTTCAATGTGATAAAATGAACTGTTAGTATAGCCTCTTGGCCCCTCCTAACTCACCAAGGTGATTTCTAAATCTGTAAATTTCTAATAAAATGATATCAGTGGTAAATTTTATACAGTACAATGTGTTTGAGAAATCTTGAACAGTTCAAAGTTAAAGAGAAATTTCAGACAATGCAATGTTAATGGGAAATATCAAGATACTGGTAGATAAGTTGTCCCTGTCAGTCTGACACTGTATTCCACCTGTGAACTTCAGACTAGCAAAGCTCAGGAAAACCACGGTAAAATTAGTATCAGGCTAACAAAACTAATTGCAACCAAACACCTTATGTGTTCAAAATTAAAAGAGAAAAGAAGAGGAAAACTCCCAACAAATAAGTAAATTTTTGTATATTTTTTCTGTCACAATCTTTCAGTCACACATCTCTATTTTTGTACAGGGTACAAATTCCAACACCATATTTCAACTTTTCAACTTGTTTCAACATTAAATCTGTAAACATGTTGGTACCAATCAAAGGCATCATCTTTTCCACCTAATATTTGTGTTTACACAAGGTAGAGAATTCTACCTCCTAGTTAGGGGACCACAACAGGACAGTTGGAGAGTTGACCAGTGCTGTTATCAATACACACTTCTAGGTAGAGGTTTAATTCGGTGCTGAATGCACTCTCAGAGACAATAGCCTCTACATTAACGCTATGTAGAAACAACTAGAGGTTACTCAATATTATTAACTGTCACCTGGTTTTGATAAGACAAAAGATCTGCAAAAAATCAGTTTTTGACAAATTACGAAAATTCTAATTCATAAAAATTGATCTTACACACAATAAAGATTCAAGAAATAGGTAAAATTGTGCATAAATAATTTTTTCTTTGTGAAATTTGGTAAGATAAAATTTGTAAATAAATTCAAGTTCAAAATTGCGGTAAATAAATTTGACATCAAGACTCCATTGACACCAAACAATCTTCAATATGTGTACACACTGACCTTTTTGTAGGCAACCTTGGCATTGCCAGGAATCTAAGACACACACATTGTCTTAAAACAATTATATTCGCAGAAAATACCCTGGCAAATCGCTCATAAATAGAATTTGACTATTTTCGAGTATTTTTTCTTCATTTTTACTGATTTTTCTTCTTAATATTGCATTTTCATAACTCCATCTATTCGTCTTTATATCAATCTACCAAATGAATGAAAGATACAACTGAAATATCCAGTATTCTCACCAAAAAGAGTTCGAAGGCTGCCAGTAGTTCCCCTCCATCCTCATTTCCTCGTCTGATATCGTACCACTGTAGGACGGGCATTCTCGCATCACTAGGATCTAGTTTCACCATTGGGCGGGCTCGTGCTCGGCCCAGGAACTCATTAGACCCCTAAAAACACAGGAAGACATGGGAGATAACTCAAGCTGATTTACAGACATGATATGCCAAAGTAACCCTGACAACCATAGACGCTAAAAGAAAGGACGACATGGGAGATAACTCATGCTGATTTAGACATTGAATACCCAAGAAGCAACCATTAATCGATGCTTAATCTTCAAGTAAGTTAGCCGCTTATATCATTGTAAAGTGATATAATACCCGCTTATATCATTGTAAAGTGATATAATACCCGCTTATATCATTGTAAAGTGATATAATACCCGCTTATATCATTGTAAAGTGATATAATACCCGCTTATATCATTGTAAAGTGATATAATACCCGCTTATATCATTGTAAAGTGATATAATACCCGCTTATATCATTGTAAAGTGATATAATACCCGCTTATATCATTGTAAAGTGATATAATACCCGCTTATATCATTGTAAAGTGATATAATACCCGCTTATATCATTGTAAAGTGATATAATACCCGCTTATATCATTGTAAAGTGATATAATACCCGCTTATATCATTGTAAAGTGATATAATACCCGCTTATATCATTGTAAAGTGATATAATACCCGCTTATATCATTGTAAAGTGATATAATACCCACTTATATCATTGTAAAGTGATATAATACCCACTTATATCATTGTAAAGTGATATAATACCCACTTATATCATTGTAAAGTGATATAATACCCACTTATATCATTGTAAAGTGATATAATACCCACTTATATCATTGTAAAGTGATATAATACCCACTTATATCATTGTAAAGTGATATAATACCCACTTATATCATTGTAAAGTGATATAATACCCACTTATATCATTGTAAAGTGATATAATACCCACTTATATCATTGTAAAGTGATATAATACCCACTTATATCATTGTAAAGTGATATAACACAAGTTGAGTGTCCTTACATGTTATATCTTTAATACTTGATTTTAGAGCCTAGACAACTGGATCTCCATCTGTACCCAGAATTTACCAACGAACTCCCTCCTTATCTGACCAAATAATTCTGTCCTTCCCGACGTTCTAGCCCCGTCCATGACTACTGGTAATAGTCTTATTAACGGTAACTCTCAATGAGTCTATGGTACTCACCAACTTGTCATGGTCATATATTTCCACAAATATCTCTGGGGGCTGTGACTCAATGGTTTTGGGATCGCCAAAGATCTCAAACTCTTCGAAGATGATGGTTTGGTCCCAGGTAGGGCAGAGTGATTTGTGGATTTTTTCTGTCACTCCACTCTGGGTCAGCAGTGACACCCTCGCGTATGGATCTGGAAAGGTTAAGCAGTCACGTAACCTCTATATGTATTGTGCAAAAGATTTATAGCACACTATAGAGGACCTGCAGTTCATTGTAATAAACAAACCACAGAAATTTATATTCATGTCTGCAAAAAGTTCAATTCTATGCATCAATCATTTTCAGTGTGAAAAAAAGTGGTCGTTACTGCTGAATGTGTGCAGCTAAATGTAAAATGCATTTACTATATCTTTTAAAAACATCTCCTTTCCTTACTTTCATGCCTCACCTTGTGAAACAATTAACTACATTTATATATATGTTGTTAAAACAAAATATTAAATTTGCTTTAGTACTGTTCTCAGAAGTTTTGAAATACATGTAGGTGGTTGACTTGAAATTAATAGTCGGTTGAATGCTGTCATATTGACTTATACATATTCCGAAAAAAATGGCTGGTCCAAAGATGAATAGCAGGCTACTTTTGTTGAGAACTGATCAAAACTTTTAATAAGAACAATGAAATTTCATTAATTCAAATTGTGTCCATGAAATTTCAGATTTCAGTCAATTTCCAAATCTATTAAATTTTGTACTTAAAAGTACAATAGGGGTATTTAATACTTACCAGACAAACCTGACTCGTCCCCTGCTAACAGATCTCGGGCCTGGTAAACATAGGCCCTCAGCTGGTACTTGTACGATTCTACAATGTTATACATAATCTGTATTCACCAGTTCTCTGGGTTCTCAAATTTCAAGATATGAAGAGAAGGAACAGTGAACAAACCGATAAAACGGCTTATGTCAAAATATGATTATTCAAGTTCAAGATCAATTATTGAACAAAAAAGGTTCAATATAATGTCACATAGTACAGTGAAGATAAAAAAAATCTGTGAAAAGTTGTGGTGACTTTGTTATTGTCAAAGGTTAGGGTGATGAAGTTATAGTTAAAAGTCAAGCTCATAAGCTTATTGTCAAAGGTTAAGGTGATGAAGTTACAGTTAAAAGTTAAGCTCATAAGCTTATTGTCAAAGGTTAAGGTGATGAATTTATAGTTAAAAGTCAAGCTCATAAGCTTATTGTCAAAGGTTAAGGTGATGAGCTTATAGTTAAAAGTCAAGCTCATAAGCTTATTATCAAAGGTTAAGGTGATGAACTTATAGTTAAAAGTCAAACTCATAAGCTTATTGTCAAAGGTTAAGGTGATGAATTTATAGTTAAAAGTCAAGCTCATAAGCACATTGTCAAAGGTCATGGTCATCAATTTATTATCAAAATTCAAGGTGAAGGTCATCAGCTTATTGTCAAAGGTGAAGGTTACCAACGTACTGTCAAAGGTGAAGGTCCTTAACTCACTATCAAAAGTGGAGGTATTACTTACTGTCAAATGTTAAGAACATCCTTGGAGCTGTAAGAGATTCTGCTGCGTCCTTATCATCGTCCTGGAAATAGATACAGACTAAAATTACAGAGGGGGAAACGGCTAAAGCTTCAGGACTCAGAGGAAATGAACCAGAGAAAATGTGAACACTCTGGCAATGTTCACCATATGAACTCAAATAAGGTACCAACTGATTACAATAAGATAACAATAAAACTGATTTGGAAAATTCCTGTCCGGCTATTGGCTCACGGACATATCACAGTAATATGTCATTTAAGTAATTTAGAATTATATACATCATTTTAAAAAACACATCTTTATGGACAAAGAGACAAACAGATACCATGTCGCACTACACCATGTAACGAATCATAAACCAGTCAATATTGTATTGGGGGAAAGACCTGCAAGACAACAAAGAAGTCAGTATATTGACCCCACTGTCTATGATACCAACATCAATATACAGAGATCAATATTCACAGGAGAGTAGATTTACCAACATCAATATACAGAGATCAATATTCACAGGAGTAGATATACCACATCTATATACAGAGATCAATATTCACAGGAGAGTAGATATACCAACATCTATATACAGAGATCAATATTCACAGGAGAGTAGATATATCAACACCAATATACAGAGATCAATATTCACAGGAGAGTAGATATACCCACATCAATATACAGAGATAAATATTCACAGGAGAGTAGATATACCCACATCAATATACAGAGATCAATATTTATTTTTAAATAAATGTTTCTCAGTACAGAAATCTTACATCTGTCTTCATGCTGAAGAAACAGCTAGCTCCTGGCGTCTCAGCCACCATCTTACGATGCCAGCGACGACGCCTCACCATGTCCATTGTGTGTTCCTTACAGTGGAACTTCATGTTGAAGAGCGGAGCATACTCCCAGCCATCTGCCTGTTCTTGTGACTTCTTTATCTGTCAACAAAAATTCAGGTTCAGTATTTCTCTTGAAACTTTACTTCAAATACACACGCATAGTTTTATAAGTTTAACACTGAAAATTACAACTTTTCAAATTTCCATTTCAACAGTTCTATAGGAACGTATGAAAACATACAGTAATAATTAACTTCAGCACTTAACATGAATAAGTGCATAGGATCAAGGCTCTAATACAAAACAGCCGAAGAAAATTAACATTACCACTCAAATACAAATCGTACTTCTAAACTAGATTTAGAAATTAGTCATGTAAAATTAAGGTAAAATAATCCCCTTTGCTATAAATGAAAGCAAAACAAAATTAACTTTATATTTATCATTTCAATATATATATCTTATACTCGACACATCTAAATGTTATAACTAAGATATGTGAATATAGGACTGCACAAACGGTGGATGCAAACAAATAGAAACCAGAGATACACATACAATGTATAAAATTTCTCTAGGTACAACACAAACACAATATGTTACACAACAACATATCAACAAAACATGCCACCAGTCACTGACTGGGAATAGCACAACAGCATGTATAAACAAAGGGGGGTAGCATTTCCAGGAATACATATATTGGGGGAGAGGACACAGATGATGTCTTGTATCTTCTAAAAAGGTCAGTATTATTGACCTCAACCTTTTCCAAGATAAAGGGGGGTGAGATTATTGCCAAGACTGCTGCTGAAATATGGGGAGACCACTAAAGCTGATGAAGTAAGGGGAACAATCAATTTTTGTTGAAAGAATAAGGAAGGAGGGAGGATAATGGGTGGTAATCATCCCTTGAGAGAGTAAAAGGAGCAATCAACTGTTGGTGAAGAAATAAGGGAGGAATTATAGTAAGGGGAGGTAAACAACATTTGATTTAGTAAAAGGAGGTAAACAACCAATGTTGAAGGAATAAGGGCGGAGACAAATGAACTGTTAAGTATAATAAAGCACCCACATTTAATCTGAAATTACTAGGGTTATGTCTGATTGGCTGGACTCAATAGTTGTTGGTATAGAATGACACAGAACGGTAGTTACACAAAGGATTGTTTAAAATCTTTTAGACCAAAAAAGCCGGGATAGGGAAGCAAAACAATCCATAGGTATCCAAAGATTGGTCTGAAAAATCTTTCCTTTGGGAAAGAACATTCATGCATTGTCAACAATAACAAAGAAATATAATGCTGTCAGTAAACTTACCTTTTGTTTTATCTGTAGGTACGGGTACAAGGGTTAGTGAGTTCAGGGTAATTTAGTGTGGTACAAGGGTCAGTGAGTTCAGGGTAATTTAGTTGGTACAAGGGTCAGTGAATTCAGAGTAATTTAGTGTGGTACAAGCGTCAGTGATCTCAGGGTAATTTAGTGGGCTCTGGGTCACTAGATACACAGCCAAGTGCAAGTGTTTTATTGACTCGTCCTTCAAGTTCAGTTTTTGAGCTTCTTGGTACAGTAAATTAGTAGACAGGCAACAAGCCAACATTTCTAGCATTCAATATTTAAAATTCAAATTACCAGCATTAGTTTTTCCTGCATATCCTGTTGATAATAACATACTTTTATAATAAATTCATAACATCCAGAGCTATCAAAAAAAAAACCATCCCTGAACAAACTTTGTCATCTTAAATGGGCTGTGATTTTGTTAATGGTCCACAAAACACAAAAATCTTTTTCAAGGTAATCGTAAGCTCGTCCTGTTGATAATGATTTAGCTTTATAACAAGGTAAATCCAACATTAACATATGAAGTTTTATGAAATTGTATCAGGAGAAACAGTCACTAGAGTGACAAAGAGTGCCCGTCACTAGAGTGATGACAAAGAGTGCCCGTCACTAGAGTGATGACAAAGAGCTATAATTTTGTTTATAATGGGTTACAAGACCAGATTTGCTCACGAAACTATCCAAGCAACATCTTGCCAATAGTTATATGTACTGTGTTCCCAGATGGCTAATCAGCTACCTAGTCTGGAGTTGCACATTGGTTCGGAGTACCAAGTTACCTTCTCTTTCTGTTTCTTTGGATCTTCCACCATTCGTCGTGTACGTATCCATCGCCGTCTGCGACACATGTGGTACCGCTTCTCAACCGGACCGTATCCTCCCATAGTAGCCTCCACGCAGTACTCCCAACCTGGAGGACAGAAAAACTTATAAAAACAATCTCATATACAGCCTCAGTACCAAAACATATCCACCCGTACTCCCAACCAGAAGAATGGACAAATCTTAAACACAGACTGTAAGCAGTAAACAGACTAGGCAACAAAAAAATACAATTATGGGTGGAGAAACTGAACTTACTGCGCACAAAACAGAAAATTATATAACAGTAATGTTTCCATGTGTAGAATTACATAATACCAGATTAATACCCAGTTTTTCAAAGGTTCTAAAATAAACAAATTTAGGAGATTATTGTGATTTTATATGCATTGATACTCCAAGGAAAGATTTTGAGTACAAAAACAATCCCGATCATGCTACCACTGTTTTTTCAGACTGTTGTGTGCATTTTTGGAATTCTTGTAGAAATAACATAAGTCTTAATTAGTTGTATATTCCAGGAACAAAGGGCCAATATTAATCCCATCTGTATGTTATCTTCTTCATCAACAAAAGGTCAAAGTTCATTACGTATCTTCTCATTAATAAAAAGGTCAAGGTTATCAGTAACTACAAACTTTCCTTATTACAAAGATTAAAATTAAATACATATCCTCTTCATTATCAAGTGTTAGATTATTTACACGTCATCTTTTTCATTAACAAATGTTTAGATTATTTACACATATAACAAAAGGCCAAGGTTAATAACATACCGTCTTCATCCACTGCTCGGCCCAAATCACTTTCCCACTCATCCTCCCACACCCAGCCCGGGGGGAGGTGTGTTTCCCCTCGGGACAGACACTTGTCACCTTTCTGTAAAATACAGTACCAGGTACATCACATGTAAACACTAAATCTAAATTAAGAACATTTCGTTTGTTATTTTCTAAATCTACATAGATATTCACCATGTGGACTAAATCATTGCAAGTATTACCAACAGTAATCAAACAACATCAGCATCATTAGTACATGTATATACGTCATTGTTTTATTTTCACCTTGTTTTATTTTGCTGAAGAGTACTACGTGGTCATGTCTTAATATCAAAGATTTTACATGAATTTAAAATTCTGTTTATTATCAGTTTATAATCAATTATACTTTAATGAGGTAAAAACAATGTTTTACTCATTATCTATTTTCATTGAGAAATAGTTTGAACTAGTTTTAAAATCCGTTAATCTAATCCTCTTATGATAATTAAGAAAGCTTTGCAATGTATCAATGTATTTAGAATAAGGCAAATCTTGAAACCCTTTGATTTTTAAAAACTGAAGACTTTTCTTTAATATCAAAGAAGAGAAAACTGACCACATCTGCCCAGGGAGTGGTAGCTTCCCCCCAGCTTCCCCCGGGGAGGCGTGAGTGACACTCGTACACGTCCTCCATGTACACTTTGTGTCCGGCGTCCTTGTCAAACAGCATGCTGGAAATACATGGGGAACTCAATTGTATGGATACACATTTTAGGAAAATAACTTTTATTTCTGGAGTCTATTTCATTTTTAATAAAAAAACATAAAAACGCTTCCAAAAATACAAAGCTTAATTCAAACAGACCGAACATTAAGTCTCAAATATCACCACACTTTACATAGATTCCTTTTGATGTATTTTGAAAAATACCACTTTCGAATCATGCTTTAAGGTAGGGAACAATTAACTCTGTTGCAGCATCTAACTCCACTTTTGGACTTTTATTTTTTGTTCAAAAATATAGAATTTATAAGTAAGTAAAATTGTGTCCTGCTTGAAGCAAAGTTTTCAAATGGGAAAATTTGCTTTTCAATTTCGTCCTTTTTTATATTGTGAAGGAATATCTAAATTTCCTTAGAAATTGCACGGGCACAGACTTTGGCTAAAAAATATACACAGGAAAACTCTTCATAATAGTTTAAGTACAACATTCAAATTAAAAACTTAAAGAAAATGACAAAAGACTACATTCTAATATATCACTTGTAATTGGTCAGAGAATAATTCATAATAAGCTACTAAAAGGCGATGCATTTTTATTTTGTGTTTTTTTTTCTCTCCATTTTTTGGCTGTTAAAATCCAAGTGCTTTTTCCTGCAAAGTCAAGGTGACAATGTTTGACAGAGAAGATTATCTAATAAAACAAATTATTTGTTGGATGTGGTTTTTCTTCATATTTTTTTTTTAAATGCCAGTTATCTATTAAAATTATCTTTTTTAAAAACAAAAAAGTGAGTTTTTTGTAATTTTCAATCACTAACAGTCACATGGCCCAGATCGATCATGTGGAATTTAACACAGTATAAAGTGAATTTAACAAAGTTAAACTAAAATTGTCTACAAATATAAGTCATACTTAAGGAGCCCTGCCCTACTGCAGATAAACACAACGGAGTTCCAATGTGGTTTTTAATATGTACAGTAACGTCCCCTTTATTTGGTTTTGGCTTTAACTGTAACACGACTGGGCCAGGGTGCTTCTGTTGACCAGAAATCTCAGCTAGAGCCACAGTATAATGATTGCAAACAGATTTTAGCAGTGGTACAAGGATCTTTAAAGAAACGTGACTGTGGTACAGGGATCTTTAATGAAACGTGACCGTAACAGCAAAAACGGTATCAGGTATATACATGGCGATAACTTTCTCAAAATGATAATCTCAATGATATTTCGTGGAGTTAAGAAAAAAAGGTAAAGTGAATGATGATGACACAATACAATACTATATATGTGTTTTTGTGAATAACAACATCAAAAACAAATCCACACAAAATATATGTACGGTTAAAACTTTCTGTGAGACTGTTCAAAGCATTTTTTAGCTCATACAAATTTTATACACATGCTTGCTAAAATAAAATGATGGGACTATATACAATTGACACAAGTTGATAACGAAAGCTCAAGTAGAAATTAGCTACATTTAATATGTGCTAACTTGTAGTAGAGACAACGACAACAACCTCTGGATTTCTTTGATGAATTTATTGTTGTTTACATGTTTCCATTCATTAGCCATTGTCTGAGTTTATTCAATAAACAGAAAGAATTTTCTTTTGAAGAGATCCAGAATAGGTTTTCCTTGGCTCTTTTACAGTTTTGACTATGTCTGACAGGACTCTGAATGCCAATACTATAGAGATCCATCACCTGGATATCTACCTATTATCTAACGATAGTACTGCTTCAGACACTGCTTCTCCTCTACCCTGCTACATGTATATGCTTTTACTTCACAGAAAAATAACATTTCTATACGAGAGATTTTCTCTGATTTTTTCCCCATATTTACCAGGTAGTAAAAAGTTGAAGGAAAGAAATGAGGACAATAGAATTACTGATTGACAGAAAAAGGAATAAAAAAACATACATTGTGAGATATGTACCTGATAAATGTACTTTTCATTTCCATGCAGAAATAAAACAAAGTGTGATGATTAATAGTTACGCTAATTAAGTTCATACACAATTTCTTCAGCCAATTGACACATAAGATTGTCAGACGATAACGGAGGGCCTCTAATTAAGATTATTTTTCAATATAACATTCTTGAAATGTTCTCTATATAAGACTACAAGAGAACTGAAATTCCCTGCTTCAGTTTTTCTCTTTACATGTTACATTCTAAAGTGAACTAAAATTCACTTGCTGTAGATGTTTTTCTCCAAGTACCTAACCAAAGTGAACTAAAATTCACTATATATAGATGTTTTTCTCTATACATGTGACATACTAAAGTGAACTAAATTTCCTAGCTGTAGATGATTTTCTCTATGCATGTGACATACTTAAGTGAACTAAAATGTCAAGCTGTAGATGTTTTTCTCTATACATGTGACTTACTAAAGTGAACTAAAATGTCAAGCTGTATATGTTTTTTCTCTATACATGTACCATATTTAAGTGAACTAAAATGTCAAGCTGTCGATGTTTTTCTCTATACATGTGACATACTTACGTTAACTAAAATGTCAAGCTGTAGATGTTTTTCTCTATACATGTGACATACTAAAGTGAACTAAAATGTCAAGCTGTATATATTTTTCTCTATACATGTGACATACTTAAGCGAACTAAATTTCCTAGCTGTAGATGTTTTTCTCTATGCATGTGACATACTTAAGTGAACTAAAATGTCAAGCTGTAGATGTTTTTCTCTATACATGTGACTTACTAAAGTGAACTAAAATGCCAAGCTGTATATGTTTTTCTCTATGCATGTGACATACTTAAGTGAGCTAAAATGTCAAGCTGTAGATGTTTTTCTCTATACATGTGACTTACTAAAGTGAACTAAAATGTCAAGCTGTATATGTTTTTCTCTATACATGTGACATACTTAAGCGAACTAAATTTCCTAGCTGTAGATGTTTTTCTCTATGCATGTGACATACTTAAGTGAACTAAAATGTCAAGCTGTAGATGTTTTTCTCTATACATGTGACTTACTAAAGTGAACTAAAATGTCAAGCTGTATATGTTTTTCTCTATACATGTGACATACTTAAGCGAACTAAATTTCCTAGCTGTAGATGTTTTTCTCTATGCATGTGACATACTTAAGTGAACTAAAATGTCAAGCTGTAGATGTTTTTCTCTATACATGTGACTTACTAAAGTGAACTAAAATGTCAAGCTGTATATGTTTTTCTCTATACATGTGACATACTTAAGTGAACTAAAATGTCAAGCTGTCGATGTTTTTCTCTATACATGTGACATACTTTAGTGAACTAAAATGTCAAGCTGTAGATGTTTTTCTCTATACATGTGACTTACTAAAGTGAACTAAAATGTCAAGCTGTACATGTTTTTCTCTATACATGTGACATACTTAAGTGAATTAAAATGTCAAGCTGTAGATGTTTTTCTCTATACATGTGACTTACTAAAGTGAACTAAAATGTCAAGCTGTAGATGTTTTTCTCTATACATGTGACCTACTTAAGTGAACTAAAATGTTAAGCTGTAGATATTTTCTCTATACATGTGACTTACTAAAGTGAACTAAAATGTCAAGCTGTAGATGTTTTTCTCTATACATGTGACATACTTAAGTGTTATATTGTAGCCTTATCAAACTGTTTATATTTCCATACAAAATGTAAAATCACGTTAAAAGCTGTGTTGACCCTTCTCTGCTTCTGTGAGCTAGCTGAGCATGTCATGTGACCCAAATATACCTGAGTTCATTAAGTGTGTCATGTGACCCACATATACCTGGGTTCATGATGTGTGACATAAAGACCTACATATACCTGGGTTCATGTGACATAAAGACCTACCTGAGTTCTGGACTTATGTACCACTCGCTGTCCCACCTCCAACCAGGAGGAGGGTCAAAATTCTCCTTCTTCAGCTTCACCTGATGGACAGGTAACAAACAGTACTCATTAAACAACAACAGAAACGTTTAGACCTTAGCTGTCCTCCATATCAAAATATGTTTCTTTTAATACAATATAATCTTTCAATTTTACATTGATCCCTTTCAATTTTTAGTAAATAATTTTGAATATACTCATTAACTCCCTTTATTTCTCAATTAGCAACTTTGTGTTTTCTTGTTGGCATCTGTCTTAACTTCACTGGAATACCAGACATGTACTCAGTAAGACAGGCATGTTTTGCAAAGAGTCCACTGTAAACTTTTTTATACTGACCTTGCCCTGACTGTCCGACCATTTAGGTCGTCCCAGTGGTCCTTTGTTTGTCCAGCCCACAATAGGGATACTAATCTCATTTTCATACTGCAGAAAAAAACATGAACTAATGTAGTTTGGTTTTCTAAATCTAGCTGTTTGTACATTCTGTATTTATTTATAGTAAATTAACAAACTTTTTACTGTTTTCAACAAAATATTTCCATCGCCAATCATCATTAGGGTGGATTTCAACCAATGAAAGCCAAGACTTACAGTTTCTGCAAACACCGCCAGTTCACCCTCAGTCTGCATCTTGTGCCACGCCTTTTCCTCATTATGGAGGCCAAGCCAGAGCCTCACTCTGAGCAGTGCAGGAACATCAAACTTTTTGTCTTTGATGGCCTTGTCTCCCGGCAACTACAACAATTCATTACATAAATATGGCGTTATCACATGGCCTTTACCATTATCAGCAGGAACAGGCAGGCCTACTAAATCGCTCTTTATTTAAACTTCAATTATTTTACAAAAATTAGGACAAGTTTTTAAAACTTAAACTAATCAATTCTGTTGGACAAGATCGAAGCTTGCTTGCGGTCTTGATGGGAAGGAAACTGGAGTAGCCACAGAAACCCCTCATGTTCTACCAGTGTGTAAGTGTGCTAACCACTGTGGCACCCAACCATTCAATATTCATGTATAATAATTTTGTTTAGATCAGATTCAATTTTAAGTAGGGAACAATAAAGTATTTCAGAATAAACAGACAACGCAGACTTTATTTCATGATTGGATCACCTATTGAATGTATACAAAACTGTATCTCTCTGAAAATATCACTCTGAAATGCTTTTTTAACTTCCACAATGCTTCTTTTCCCTGTGACTGGAACTATGTCCCATTTCAAACTCTCATTAGAATGTGTAGTAATACAAGTTCAATACATAATACAGAGAAAGCGTACAAGTTCACTTACAATAAAAGTGTGAAGTAGGAAAATTAACACGTGACTAAGATACCTGAAGACAAATGGACTGGAGCTTGCCGCAGTTACGACCTATATAGTTGGGGTCGGCCGAGTAGAGGATCTCGTTAGCTGGGATCCTGTGGTAGGCTATCCTCTTCTCTCCACTAATCATCCATAATATCACATCAGGCATACTGTTCTGGGGCTGTAAACACAGGTGAGAAACATTTCTAAACCTTTGTACAAACTATAGGTTATAACTGTCACACCAATAATAATTCTTAGTGCTATTATCACAATGAAATGGAAACTAAAACTTAAGAACTGACCTCCTGTGCCAGGTTTTTGATCATCTGTAGGAAGTTCTCCGCCTCGTTAAGTGCCTCGACAACATCTGTAGCATGCTCCCTCAGTGTTCCCGCCATTTCTCTGATGTTTGCCAGCTCTGATGCACGATATTGCAATGTCAACTCGTCCAGTTTGTTAGGCGTATGTCGACCTGGCTTAGGCTGTGGTAGCGGTTTTCTAACAAACAAAGGGAAATAGGTTCAGAGAGTTCCTGTGACACCAAACTTCGAAGGACTATATCAGTGACATTATTCATAGGTGTCACTATAAACATGGTAGAATAGATGACCAGCAGGGACAGATCTGAGGTGGGGAGTAGAAGGACTATATCAGGGACGTTATTCATAGGTGTCACTATAAACATGGTAGAATAGATGACCAGCAGAGACAGATCTGAGGTGGGGAGTAGAAGGACTATATTGGGGACGTAATTCGTAGGTGTCACTATAAACATGGTAGAATAGATGACCAGCAGTGACAGATCTGAGGTGGGGAATAGAAGGACTATATCAGGGACGTTATTCGTAGGTGTCACTATAAACATGGTAGAATAGATGACCAGCAGAGACAGATCTGAGGTGGGGAGTAAAGAGTATGTGGAAATTCTACAGGTGTGGGTTAGGGCTGGGAATACAGAATAATGTAGAGATATAACAGGTTCAGCAGAGATGGACAGAGGGAGGAAGGGATGGGTTATGGATGGGTAGAGATGGATAAAGAATCTTGGATAAATTTATATTAAGACAGGTTTATCAGAGGAGGGTTAAGATTAAGTAGGAATATTTAGAGATGGATCGGCAAAAATGGATATGTTCAGTAGAGTTAGGTAGAGAAGAGAAAAGAAGATTTGGGATGAATCATGGTGGTTAAGATGAAGTAAAGATATATGCAGATACCGCTACAGATAGACGATTACTTACCGACAGTCCTGTACTAGCTGTTCCAGAAGAGATATGAGCAACTGGGCCAGTTCTGGGGTAGGTAGTTTGGCCTTCATCCCGATCTTGACTTGCTCAATGTTAGCTTCCTACAAGTTGACAATACAAGTGTAACTTTAGTCTGTAATTATTTCAATTAGCTTATTTCTCTGTATTGTTTTTCTGAGACAAAATCAATTTTATTCAGACTTAATTCAATTGCCGACCATTAACGGCATACAGTATATTGGGGGTTACTATGTGGTGCACAAATTCTGAGCTTGTTAACTTTCATAGAATTATTATTATTCAGATATATGTGTATGGAGCAACACAAGATTTTAAAGTTGCGAACTATCAAAGAGTATTATGGGATATATTATGCGCAACAAGATTTACAAGCTTGTCAACCTTTACAGAGTATTATGGAATAATTTGAGCACTGTCAGACCTGCAAGCTTGTAAACTGTTTCACCATACTCAGGGATGTACTGAGCACTGTCAGACTTACAAGCCTGTAAACTCTTCCACAATGCTCAGGGATGTACTGAGCACTGTCAGCCTTACAAGCCTGTAAACTGTTTCACCATACTGTGGGATTTACTGAGCACGGTCAGACTTACAAGCCTGTAAACTGTTCCACCATACTGTGGGATGTACTGAGCACTGTCAGACTTACAAGCCTGTAAACTGTTTCACCATACTCAAGGATGTACTGAGCACTGTCAGACTTACAAGCCTGTAAACTGTTCCACCATACTGTGGGATGTACTGAGCACTGTCAGACTTACAAGCCTGTAAACAGTTCCACCATACTGAGGGATGTACTGAGCACTGTTAGACTTACAAGCCTGTAAACTGTTCCACAATGCTCAGGGATGTACTGAGCACTGTCAGACTTACAAGCCTGTAAACTGTTCCACAATACTCAGGGATGTACTGAGCACTGTCAGACTTACTAGTTTGTCCAGGATACCCTGGAGGAGGTTGAGGGCCTCAAGTCTGAAGGAAATATCCTCCCAATGAGAGTCAACCACCACACATGGCTTAGTGGCACCCCATGGCAGGAAGGAGTAGTGGCAGCCATCAAACACAGCATTGGTGGGCTGAGTCGTTGAGGAGCAAGGCGGGACATTGTCATCCAGCTTGTTACCATAGTTACCTGATGGCAAAGAAAAGAAATTGAGTTTACAGAAGTTTAATCATGGTTGATGTCATATGAATTGTTATGATGCAAAAAAGTGATGCAATTTCATCCAGAAATAATATCATAGAGACATAATATCATATGTAGCTCATTGGGTTTACAGTCTATTAGTAATATATCACTCGTTCTGAAAGAATAAATCTAACTCTTTTGTCTCCTCACGACAGTCCACCTGGTCAGATGTCTAAATTTTTATATCACAGTATAGGCACATGTTTTGGTTCCAACACTCTGCCTTCCCTGGATGTAACTATGAACTAGTTTGAAAATCCTACACGAAAACAGATGTACAGGGTAAATACTATAAACTCCTGACTTGTCAAAGCAGTGGAAGGACCTATAAACACTGGGGATAATTACTGTAGATGGTTTTAAGTTTCAACTTCATTAAGCACCACTGTGTTTGGTTTTCTGAAGACAGAACTTACCTATACTGACTTCAAACTCAACTGGCGCATCAATTGCACTGACCATCGTAGCATTGAGGAACGACGCATGAAGCTTGTATTTCCTCCTTCTCATGAATTTCTACAGAAATTAAAAAGCATGTAATTTTATCAGTAATAATCAGTAATAAAATTTCAATACTGGCCAACAGAGAAATGAAATAACTACTGACTTGTTGTAAACTTATTAAACATGTTTTGTTTTGTTTTTTTTCTCTATCAGTATGGGGAGGTTTCAAAAGATGACTAAGGCTTTCACCAATTTATTCTAAAAACTCCAATTTCAGTTCAATTCAGAAAATATTTTTTATCCAGAGGGATTCTTGTAGAGTCTATATCATTTTGAAGTGTTGGAATCACCCCTACTGACAGTTGTCTGACAATATATAACTACCATACCTTGGTCATTGATTACATTAATTGGTGTGTGACCCGATATAATATTCTCTGACCTCTAGCTGTACTACCTTTCTAAGTGCTCTACTACTGACACAGCTGATTCCCAGCATAGTTTCCTCACCCTTTACCCTTACCTGTACTCGTAGAGTTTCCTAACCCTCTACCCCTACCAGTACTAATAGAGTTTCCTCACCCTCTACCCTTACCTGTACTCGTAGAGTTTCCTAACCCTTTACCCTTACCTGTACTCGTAGAGTTTCCTCACCCTCTACCCCTACCAGTACTCGTAGAGTTTCCTCACCCTCTACCCATACCAGTACTCATAGAGTTTCCTCACCATCTACCCTTACCTGTACTCATAGAGTTTCCTCACCCTCTACCCTTACCAGTACTCGTAGAGTTTCCTCACCCTCTACCCATACCTGTACTCATAGAGTTTCCTCACCCTCTACCCTTACCTGTACTCGTAGAGTTTCCTCACCTTCTACCCTTATCTGTTATTGTAGAGTTCCTCATCCTCTACCCTTACCTGTACTCGTAGAGTTTCCTCACTCTCTACCCTTACCTATACTCATAGTTTCCTCACCTTCTACCCTTACCTGTACTCATAGAGTTTCCCCGCCCTCTACCCTTACCTGTACTTGTAGGGTTTCCTCACTCCCTCTACCCTTACCTGTACTCATAGAGTTTCCTCACCCTCTACCCTTACCTGTACTCATAGAGTTTCCCCACCATCTACCCTTACCTGTACTCGTAGATTTTCCTCACCCTCTACCCTTACCTGTACTCGTAGAGTTTCCTCACCATCTACCCTTACCTGTACTCATAGAGTTTCCTCACCCTCTACCCTTACCTGTACTCGTAGAGTTTCCTCACCCTCTACCCTTACCTGTACTCGTAGAGTTCCTCACCCTCTACCCTTACCTGTATTCGTAAAGTTTCCTCACTCTCTACCCTTACCTGTACTCGTAGAGTTTCCTCACCCTCTACCCTTACCTGTACTCGTAGAGTTTCCTTACCCTCTACCCATTCCTGTATTAGTAAAGTTTCCTCACCCTCTACCCTTACCTGTACTCGTAGAGTTTCCTTACCCTCTACCCATTCCTGTATTCGTAAAGTTTCCTCACTCTCTACCCTTACCTGTACTCGTAGAGTTTCCTCACCCTCTGCCCTTACCTGTACTCGTAGAGTTTCCTCACTCTCTATGTCCTGTACATTGACCTCTGGTAAAGCACCTAGTTCTGTTGTCAGCTCCACAAGGACACGTCCCCTGTACGCCACACCTATGCCCTGTAATATTGAAACTGATTAGACATTTAAACACGAGATGATTGGTCAGTCTAACATAGAAACTTACTGGACATTCAAACACTGACATGTCAGTCTAACAAAGGCACTGATACGTCAGCCTAACATAGACATTGATTGGTCAGTCTTAATAATACATTGATTGTCCTGTATGTCTTAATAGGTACAAATATGATATTCTAATACAAATTATCTGTCTGGTCAGACCTACAAATATATTAATGGATCAGCTCAACACAGCATTGCTTCATCAGTTACTTAAACATGTATTACCTGTTTAAAATATATTACTGTATTCCACCTGTGTTACTTTGAATAATATAAAAAAAAATCCTCTAATTAAATTTTGTTATTCCATAAATACCATGGCCTGTAGATAAATATTAGTATGTAAGTATACCTACCTTTCCTTCGTTTAAGTCCTCATACTCGTTTGGCAGGTCAGAATACTCTCTTGTTGACCCATAAAAATTTACATAGCAGGGACCGAAGGTTGGTAGGAAACCTTGAAAATGCATAAGTCAAAGGTTAATTCAGGTACTTTGGAATGTTTATATGATTTTTCAACATTGGAAACAAATCAAATTTCAAATGTAAATGTATTTCTTTAACACTCAGATGATTGGACATTTAATTAATAACTTCAAATTGTTCCTAAAAGCAAAGATTCATTGTACATAATAAATAACACTTGAAACAATTAAAACATTAAAACTTTCATCATATCAACATATACATCTGCAGCAGACTAATTCTAGTTCATATAAAGTGAATCCCATGCCGATTATAAATTTCCATGACAACATCAATAAAAAGAAAATCAAAGTAACATTTAATAGGTAAAACCTTTCAGCCATGAGTAAACAATTAATGTTCTGGTCAAACTCTTTGATATTCAAAAAGATAAATGAAATCTTGAAAAAAAAAAAACTCCTGGTCAAGGGACTCCCATTCATCATCATAGATAAAGGCTTGGCAGAAAGAAGTTTTTAGAAATAATGAGGACAAAAATTATAAAGATAAGTTTAACACTCACTGAATGGCAGAAAAAAATGTATTATTTAAGCCCTGATTCTACCTGATAAAAGATGCAGAATAGGTGACATGATATAGATGGTCATATGTGATCACGAAAGGCTAAGGTGATCAAATGTGATCACATGATATGATCAGGCAGTCACATGATATAGACGGTCACATGTGATCACATTACATGCTACGGCAGTCACATGCAACCACACGATATATACCAAGGTGATCACATGTGATCATGATATACTGGGGCCGTCATATGTGATCCCGATACGCTGAAGTGGTCATATGCACTCACATGATATACCGACATGAGTGATTATACCACAATGCTAGTTTTATTGTATTTGAAAAACCAAAGATCAAAAGAGTTGAACTACCTGCAATGTAGCAATATAACACAGCTGTTCTGTCATTAAACTAAACAGGAATATTTCATGAAAATTACAAAGGTACTTTAAAAAGGATTTTTTTCCAAAAAGGACATACAAATTTTATAAGAAAAGTATTTAGCCAAATAATTAATCTAATGAACCCATTTTCACTATGACAAAGCTGTTGCTTTGTGATAAAGTAAATTTCTAAATTTAGCTGAGAAAATTTAAATAATTTAGTTAGTCTAACACAATACAGTAAGCTAAAGTAAATTTCTAAATTAAGCTGAGAAAATTTAAATAATTTAGTTAGTCTAACATAATACAGTAAGCTAAAATAAATTTTGTGACATTTAAGTAAAATGTTCACCAAATGAGTTAAAAGTTGAAGAGAATACTACATCTACCAAAAGAAATTATAATCTTGGAAATATTTTCATGAGGAAGTTTCCAGACAGACTTCAGAAGAATAACTCATAACTGAAATTAAAATTATTTATCAACTTGTTATGTACCAAAACCTACAATATATCAACCAGATGGTGTTCATATAAAGTAAAGATCACTGTAAATCATTGTATAAGGTACTTGTATCTGTAAACCATGCTGAAGACAAACCAAGGGGAGATAATTTCTGAAAAATCGAGTAAAATACTTCTGAAGACAAAGCAAATGTATGATTGAAATGCCACTCTGATAAAGGTAGCAAAGGTTATTAACTTCACAAGAAATAAAAATTAGATGTTAACTTTCAACTTCGTACGTCTATTGAAATAAAACCCATATACCACAAAATTATCACAGTCAAGAACTAAAGTTTGAAAACGTTATTTACCATCTTCCATAGTCACTTTGATGATCGTAAAATGGAAATCAAATTTGTTAAAAATCATCAACATTTTTGATGACAAAAAGAAAAGAATATGCTATGTGGAAGAAAGGACTGAAACCATTTAAAACAAATAAGAATTTAATAAATTTAGAAAGTTTATTGTAGAAAAGTTGCATTATTCCAAAGAAAGATAACTCTGGTTTGACAAAGACTGAATACTGATTACTAATTATATTTTTATTACCAAACACATTATCAAAGCAACCCATTGTTTGGTTCTTCAACTATGTATGAATTTGAACCTAGGATCTAGGCTGACTTAACAATAAAAGGCTGGGTAACAGTGGGTCATCAACAAACAATAGTTATCTCAATGGCAGAATGTACTGTTAATAAATATACGTGATCACGCCTTGTTCAAATTGATTGTTCTTTTCCAGAATGTGACACAATCATGTACTAAAATTAATGTTCTACTTCACTGTTATAGAAAATTTAGTTAAGTTTAAAAATGGTTGTCTTTGTAAAAAATAGCAAATTTCTTCATACCCAGTCTCTAGTGTAAAATACTGTATACCAGGAAGTTGTTTTCATGTGATTAAAATGACTCAAGGACATGTTATCTACACATGTAGATCACACATGGGTGTAGGCTGCGTGCTAAATATAAGGGGTGAAGGCAAATCTCAGGATATTTTTTCTACACAAGTATTTTGTGATAAAAGGAAAGGATGCAACAAGGTGTCAGGTAAAAAAAAAAATGAAGATTAATTCATACAATGCAAATTAATTTGTATTAAGGAATGAAGACAATTTCTGAAATGATTTCATCATAAAACATTAACTGTTAATGATTATGACTTAAATATATTATAATAAGAAATTAGCAATAAAATCTATTCTGCATTACTTTAAACATATGTGATACAGAAGTCAAGCACACAACAAAAGAAAGAAAGAGTTCTACAAAGGGACATAAATACCCTCTTCTCCAGCACTCGATATGAGAGTAATTGGAAGATACGACGTTCCCACCGGGTCATCATTACCTATGCGATCCCTGGAGGTCAGAAGGCAGGACAGAAAGTAGCAATATACATTAAATATAGTAATAAAGCCAAAGTAAATACACATTAAGTTGAGGTAATACCGTAGTCCTCTCCTGGCTAGACCTGGTGTATATAAATATAAACATTGTATGGTATAGCTGGGTTACACAGTTAGTGATGTTAGTTATCAACACACATAAATATCTCATTCCACAACAAACATCCACCTGTATGACAGGCTATTCTACCACAGTGCCCATCCACCACCGTGTTAATCCACCATAACGCTAATCCACCATTAAGTGCTAATCTTTCACGGTGATAAACCAGCACAGCTAGTCGACCTCAGTGCCAATCCACCTCAGTGCTAATCCACCATTAAGTGCTTATCTTTCACGGTGATAAACCAGCACAGCTAGTCGACCTCAGTGCCAATCCACCTCAGTGCCAATCCACCATTAAGTGCTAATCTTTCACAGTGATAAACCGGCACTGCTATTCTACCATAGTGCCAATCCACCTCAGTGCCAATCCACCATTAAGTACTAATCTTTCAGGGTGATTATCCAGCACAACTATTCTACCATAGTGCCAATTCACCACAGCGCTAATCTTTCATTGAGATTTTGAAGAGCTCTCTATCTGTGCTGGTCCTCCACAGTGCTAATCTCAGTGATAATGCAGCACTAGTAATCTGCCACTGTGCCAGTTAGTTGCCCTTAGTACTTATCTAAAACCTTGCTAAATCTTTTATTTTAATGTAAATACTTTGCTCGGTATTCTAGCATTTTGCTAATCATATGCTTGTTTAATGCTATGCTAAATTAGCATTGCACTAAATTCAATACTGTGCTTGATTGTCAAAGTTCTATTCCCATATAGTGCTTATATTTCCCAGTTCCAATTCAACACTTTTCTACCATACATTGCTAATTTCAATCCTAAGCTAATGCAATATTGCTTTAACCCTTTCACCACTATAAACCATTATGGATTCATCCAAATCAATGCATGGTAGAGTCTACTAAAGTTACAGAGGGGTGAAAGGGTTAAATGTCACTATCCTATTTATCTAAAGACTCTAACATCTGCTAGTTCAACTATGGCACAATACTTTTTATTCATTCAATATTAATGAGGAAAGACACAAGCCTGTCTGCCAACAAAAAGTCATCTTTAACCTACACTCCATCATCCCAAGATATACTCTGGGTGATCTGTTTCAACAGACTCAGGGTCCTTGGTGATAATAAAACAGGCTGCTTGTGATAGTAAAATCTTATATCTTCAAAGTACTGCACCAATACATACTAAAATGTTGATGAGTAGAGAGAGCTGTTTTTATTTGTTGACATCTGGTTGTAGATTATATAGGGAGTGCCTGATACCATTATAGATTATCACAATGTACAGCTAGATGACCTCGTAACACCAGGTAATTAGCCTTCTTTACTGTCAGTTTTCTCTTAGGCCTATGATAGGGGCATACGACAGATCTACTCCCCAGTCTGTACATGCGAGTAAAAAGTAATATATAGATACTAAAAAATAATCTTTTTTTTTTTATTGTTATTGTTTATCATGGAATCTGTTGATGTACAGTGGCATCAGGGGCCTGTCCGTTTTTAAATGTAACAATTTTGGGTATAAATCCTGACAGACTTGCAAATGTTTATGCAGGCCTTGCAAGGCTTTGTCAAGGTTCGCCTGAGAGCAGCATCAGATTACTAGGCCCGACCTTATTTAATAAACGAACAACTGTGGTCCAACTGGTTCAACCATTGAAACAAAAACGGCCCTGGTTAGAATTTTAAGTGACAGATTATAACTGTCATACAGAGGTTCGACAAGGATCAAATTTTTACCATGTTATCTAACTAGTAAAATAAATACAAGTAACGAAGTAACTTTTTTCCCCCATTTTTTACCCTGTAGCTAGAGTGACCAATATTGTTTTACAAATGTCAAAACAGGTAGATATTGTCTCAGCTGATAAAATTGCTCTACACAGTAATATGTTTTACAGCTCTTTACCAAACCTTTATTTCAAAAAATTAAAAAAAAAATGATATTGGTCAATTTCAAATTCAATCAATTCTCAGTGTTTGTAAAACAACTAATTACATTGAACGTGCTTACACTGTACTTTTACTGTACAGTCTTAGTGTAATTTAAAATACCACTTTCATTCTGACCTGTTCAGAAATAAAATATTTAAATAGCTCATCAAGACGCTCTCATCCTCATTATATTTTCTAAAGCTATTCATTCAAATTCAAATTTTGAAATTTCTTTTAATTTGTTTTCGGAAACAATTTTCTACAACTATTATATTTTGTATCCGGGACAAAGCCATCTGTTGACAGCAGGGATAATGTGTAGGGTACCTGAATGTTTTAAATAGAAATTTTCATCATATCTGATATTCTCCCTAGAAAAAATGACTGTACTGAGAACTGGAACTTCAAGAATAGTTTACAGCCACCAAAAGATTAAAATTAACAATGGCTACGGTACTTATGTAAGAAATATTTCTGACAATGAATTCATCTGATTACATAATTGATTTGGTTACATACTTTGTATAAAAATACACTTTGTACATGCAACTGTTTTATAAAATCTTGAATGATATAAGTAGTAGGAATGAACAGCATCCAAAAAAAGTTGTTACACAAGAGAAATAATTAAAAAAAATACATGAAATATATATAGGATGGATTAAGTTGTAAGTGAGGTACAATAGAGTGAAGGAGGTGATTAGTGTTGCAGGGTTTGAACAAAGCAAAGGCTGTCTGCTGCCAGACAAGAACAGGGTATGGCAATGGTCACCATGGAAACAAGCTTGCTAACAAGGTCAAACAGAAATAATACTTCTCATTTCCATTTCTGACTTTATCTTTTTTATCCAAACTTTACACAGATTGAAAGGGATTCTTTTCCAATATTTTGATATTCATTTACCCAAAGTTTATCTAATTCTGAATTTTAGCTCCTCAACATAATATGTTGTTTTCAGCGCTTCAATTATTTTCGTCACGTTTGTAAAGCATGAAAATCACGGTATAAGGGCCAGAAATTGAATTTTGAAAACTGCCCGATCACAGACAAATTTGGTCACGATATAAGGAAACAGAAGATATCTGTTTAACCTGTTGTCCCCATGGTTACTACAATAACGGTGGAAACCAACCCTGTTCCCCTGCTGTGTTCCGTGAGATGAGAGGAATACCAACGGTGCCAGCACAGATTGTATCGTCTTCACTGATCCGGTCCCTACGGTAACGTAACCGTTAAATATAGAATACGTGTGCCACACATGCTAAAAACAGCTAAACGTAAGGCAGGCAGGACTCACGATGACCTTAGAAATACATGTGTCTTAGGCTTTGGCTTCAAATATTGAATATCGGTTGTGTAATGTGTAATTTAAGTGGAAATACTTTGAAACAATACAAACTCATCCCAATTTGTTTAGAATGAAAAATAAAAACCAAAAACCTTAAAAGACGTTTCTGAACTGAATTTGTTTCAGTCTAAACAATCTTTGTAAACTACAATGAATTATACAATGGAGGATGAGAACCAACATCTACTAGTGGTGTGCTCAATGAAGTACACTGTACCCCAGTCAATGGATTCCTTAAGTCACTAGTCCAACCGTAAGAGAAATCTCAAATATCAAAGAAGAGATGTCCAGACAACATCAAACGGGGAGTCTGTGCAACTTTTATATGTCATGACCTTTGACATTACCCTATTTGACCATTAATACAAATGACCTTTACCTTTAATCATCAGAAATGATATGATTGCATCGATTTTGATGTTCAGAATTCAATATTATATCTTAACTTAGGAACACTGGAATCAATTAATGACCTTGACCTTGACTTGTGAAATCCATAATCAAATGTTTGACCTTGACTTGCAATCAGAACTAGATGTATGACCTTAACATATGAACGTCAGAATCAAATATGACGACCTGCGATCAGAACTCAATATATGACCATGACCTGTGAACTTTAGAACCCAATGTATGACCTTGACTTGTGAACATCAGATCCCAATATTCCCATCCCCTAGTGTAGCCCCGAAGAGATCCTAACGCCAGACACGTTAAATATACATGTACATCGTGAGCCCTGGAGTGAATCTGTAAGGAAATGCGATTCATTACAAAGAGGAATTCTCAAAAAAAGCAAAACATTCTTGTGATGAGAAAATCAAAAGAACAAAATGTACTGAATAGCAAAACAAGGCATTCTGTGATTTGTCAATAGCTGCAACTTCAAATAAGAAATTCTGAAGTTGAAGTGAAAAGTGAGAACAAAAAAGATTTCTGGTAGAAATTAAAGAAAGGCAATTAAAATGACAGATGTGATGCTTTGGAAATCTAGCAGCTTGTCACACGATGGCAGATAATGTTAACAACTGTTTTACTGAGCATTCAAATTCAATATTCACTTCCTAACAATGAACTTTCAGTAATTAAAACTACCAAGCATTAGAATTAGTGATCTTGTCACTCAGGATAAAGCACAAACAGATACTGAAAGCATAATGCACTACTCAGGATTTAGTAAATGAGCGTTTAGTTGACCTTGTCACTCAGGAAAACATATAGATATGGTAGGTGGATCTTGACACTCGGAATATAAAGTTTAAATCAGGTAATTTCATTATGTTACTAGGGATCGGCATAATTATCAGTATGTGAAATAGATCAGTAGCCCACACTCAAAGAAACACCTAATACCCTCTCCGTTAATCACTGATACCATTAGTTAAATTTAGTCACCAATATCAACAACTAAGACCAATGCTGTAGGTTTTGGGTGAGTTCTATGTTCAATCATAACCTAAAGAATCAAATCATGCTGAAATTAAGGGGAGAACAGCATGCAAACAGGCTGCTTGGGGAGGTAGCAGAGCAGCGACGAGCTAGCATTCCTTGTCAACATCATGCACTTCCTGCTGATGGAGTTTATTGATGAAGATTAAGTTGTACCACTTTGTCACTGTTAAGACCTTGCTTCTTTCTCTTTTATTGTATGGAATTTTTAGAGATATAGTAATACAGCAATTTTTTTTCTTTTTTCGTATTAATCCCTCAAGACCTATCAATCTTATCATATTCTTCCAATACAATATTTGGTAAATGTAGCTAATGGATCTTCACATGGAGACAAATCTAGATTTAGGCCAGTAGTGACTTGACCTACTTTTCAATGACTTGACCTACTTTTCAATGACTTGACCTACTTTTTACAAGCTTGTCTTATCAGTGGTCAGCTGTAGCTATGAAGACCTAATAATGGTACGACTTTTGGGTAATTACACTAGTCAATAAATCCTGATAATAAACAATGCTGGTTTTCATCATTAGAAGTGTATACCAGTGACAATTACTTCACAGAAATTGGTTACCATTTGCAAACACTGTTAAACATTCAAATTTTACTAGATTAAAATCTGGGGTCGCATGTTAGTAATGACTCGTGATTACAATCACAGGTATCATGATAACAATCACAGGTATCATGATTATGATAACAGGTATCATTATTATAATTATATGTATCATGATTACAATCACAGTGATCATGATTAAAATCACAGGTATCATGATTCTAATCACAGAATATCATATTACATCAATATCTGATACAATGTTAACCTAAGCTATAAGATATAACAAGAGAAAGCTATCATCTAACTGGTAATAAGCATTGAGGTCATTTTCTAATTACAAATACAAGAACACAAAATACACCAAAAAATTGAAACCTACTTTCTATAGGTTGGACTACGGACTAATTCATGTACATATCAATTGATGTATGTACATTTTATAAATCATGTACAGATTGACTAATTGATGTATAAAGACAAATTTAGACTAATTTATGTACATATCAATTGATTTATGCACATATTTTACTAATTTATATACATAACAACTAATTCATGTATATATTGACTAAATTATACATAAGACTAAATCATAAACTATCTAAAACATACGATCCTATTCAATAGAAGATAAGATGACAACAAGTGGTAATTATTAAAATTGTTTGAAAATGTTCATCATATTGATATCAAAACAGAATTATTGATGGTACAAGTTATGCAAATCAATTGTCTTTGAAAACTAAGAAATATTTTGAATAAAATGTAACAAATTAAACAAGACGTAGCAAAATGTGTATACATACCAGTCTTTGACACTAAATTTAAGCCGCTCACACATAGATGGGAACTACAACAGGGATACAATAGGTGTTTTTACAAACCAATAACAACTAATATATATCAATTAACAATTAAAGAGCATTTGGTAAATAAACCTTTATTACTCATTTAATCAAAAAAAGAATTTAAAGTGAATCTATATATCAGATGAATGATGATCTAAAAAGTTCAACAAAAATATTTGTACAAGTATTTGAACAGAACTTCAGAAGTCACAAAAGAATGTAATCAATTATATTTTGCAGTTTCAAATTTTCATTTTTTTTTCTTCTTCAGTTTGGACAACAAGTATGAACCAAACTTAAGAAAATATTTAATGATAAGTAAATGCATAAAACAAAATCCTGATCTCTAACTTACAATTAATAAGTGTATCAATCACAACTCTAATCCCTAGTTCACCTTTTTTTTACTTTGTTTGCTCATTTTAATAATCTTGAATCTGAAGTGTTTAACTGTTTTACCATAAATTTCAATATTATGAAACTTCATTGAAACAAAATATGTTTTTCGTCTACCGTGATCTAAACATGAAGCAGTGTTAATACAACTATAAACTACATGATCAAGATATGGAGTGCTGTATATGTAATTACCTGAAGCCCGAGACGTAGCACCTGGTTCCAGTCAGGATGGTCGTTAGAGTACATTGTTTTTGAATGAATCTGTTGGTAAATAACAATTTATTAACATATCATAAATCATTTCAACAGAACAATATATTTCTTTAAAGCTTATCATTGCAGTCTTTAGCAGAATGAAATTCATTCACTTTTATTTGTAAATAAACAGACATGATTCTGTTTCTATGATGAACATCTTATATTTTTGAACAAAATTCACCTACTCCATGCATATAAATACATTCTCGAATTCTAGAATTTTGTTAAGTGTTTTGACCCTAAGGTATGTAGGACCCTTTTTAACTAATATTCATATATTGTGATATTGTAATCCAACACTTTGTCCATATACCAATGTTCTGATGACGGCTAGCCTAGCTAGCGAATACATCTAAACCATAAATATATAATGGAATCTACATGTTATTGCTCCATCTTTCCTATTATTTTAAATACTTGTTTTTTTAATTTATACTCGCCTCTTTTCCAGCAAATGAGAAGACAAAGTAAGGATCCACGAGTTCTTTCTGTTCCTCACCAATACCAAACACCTTCTTAACTCCCTGTAGGAAGTTTGGGTCCACTGGAAGTCAAGGTCAGACACGTGTTGTGTATTTTGTTATTGCTTTAATACAGGAATTAAGGGTTCAAGAAGAATCATAGGGGTTGAGGCCTATGTCATTGACCCAGTGAAGGAATATAGGGTTCAGTAAGAACAAGAGGTCCATGGGCCTAAACGGTCACCTGAGTCCTACAGTATTTATTTTTGTTGTTGAAATATGTACCAATTTGAGTACAAAAAAGTTAAGTATAACGTTAACTTAAGTTTGTCAGGACCATGAGCTGATCATTCCTAGACCAAGGTTCAATTAAATCGGCCTATTAGAACTTGTTTTTAAGTTTGAAATACTTTTTTCAAAATGGCGGCCGTGGCGGCCATATTGAATTTCTGATCGCCCCGAAAAATAACATCACTTTGTCAGGACCATAAGTCGATCATTCCTACAAAGTTTCAGTTCAATCAGCCCAGTCGAACTTGACTTTAGGTTGGAAATAGTTTTTCAAAATGGCGTCCGTAGCGGCCATATTGGATTTCTGATCGACCCGAAAAATAACAACACTTGGTCAGGGAGATGTCAGTAACCTTCCCATGAAATATTAATGAAATCCCTTTGCCAGTATTCCAGCTTAAGTTGAAAATGTAAAATTTTAACGGACGACAGACGCCGGAAGCCGGAAGTCGGACGCCGGACAACGCCGGACGCCAGACGACGACGGACGCCGATGGACGCCGATGGATGAACACGCATAGAAATAGGTCACCTGAGATAAAGCTAAAGCTCAGGTGACCTAATAAAAGGGGCGAGGCCGGTATCAATCACCTCCCATAGGAATATAGGGTTCAGTAAGAATAATAGGGGACGAGGCCGGTATCAATCACCTCCCATAGGAATATAGGGTTCAGTAAGAATAATAGGGGACAAGGCCGGTATCAACCACCTCCCATAGAAATATAGGGTTCAGTAAGAATAATAGGGGACAAGGCCGGTATCAATCACCTCCCATAGGAATATAAGGTTCAGTAAGAATAACAGGGGACGAGGCGATACCCATCACCTCCCATAGGAATATAGGGTTCAGTAAGAATAACAGGGGACGAGGCCGGTACCCATCACCTCCCATAGGAATACAGGGTTCATTAAGAATAACAGGGGATGAGGCCGGTACCCATCACCTCCCATAGGAATATAGGGTTCAGTAAGAATAACAGGGGACGAGGCCGGTACCCATCACTCCCCATAGGAATAAAGGGTTCAGTTAGAATAACAGGGGACGAGGCCGGTATCAATCACCTCCCATAGGAATATATATATAGGGTTAACGCGTTCAGTAAGAATAATAGGGGACGAGGCCTCTGTCATTGACCCAGTGTAGGAATATAGGGTTCAGTAAGAATAACAGGGGACGAGGCCGGTACCTATCACCCCCCATAGGAATATAGGGTTCAGTAAGAATAACAGGGGACGAGGCCGGTATCAATCACCTCCCATAGGAATATAGGGTTCATTAAAAATAACAGGGGACAAGGCCGGTACCCATCACCTCCCATAGGAATATAGGGTTCAGTAAGAATAACAGGGGACAAGGTCGGTACCCATCACCTCCCATAGGAAATTAGGGTTCACTAAGAGTATTATTCATTGAACAACAAAATGAGAAATCCTTGATGACTTAATTATCAAAAAAATAATAGAAGGTATAACATTATATTTCTTTGAGTGGTTTTTATTTTACTTACTTCTTGGAATGTCCTCTGCTCCAAACAGTTTTAGAGTAAAGGTAGCAGGTCTCAACTGAACGCCAGAAGGTCTCAGCAGGTTACTGTGGCAATCAATACGTTTAACTTCATTACATTTTGTCTTTAATTATAACATCCTCAAAGTTCTAAAGAATTTTAATTCTGATATCAACTACATGTATAACTAAGTTTATGGTGGGTTTTTTGGTGAGATTGAATTTAATTCAAGCTTGAATTTTTTACAGCGAATACAAATATTCAAATGACACATCTGAAAAACATTTTAAACGTAGGATAAATGAAGGCACAATACAATCCGGTGCAAAACTGTGCATTGGAAAATATTAATTTTGTTTACGAAACATTTTTTCGAAGAAATCCCATGAGGGATAGTACCTTTCAATATCATCACTTTCATCCTTTCCCCCAGCAGCTTTGAAGCTCTGAAATATTAATAAAATTATGAATGAAAAGAAGCATGACTATGATTTAATTGTGACATGATTCTGTTTTATATCTAATGTCAGTATTAATGATAACTTTCCATCATTAAATCTTAATTAGTGAACATGTGGTAAAATATGTAATACATACAAACAAGCCAATCAACTCAGGTCACAGTTTGACATTTTATCGTCTGTTCCGAAACATGCACCGTCACTTACAGAAATAAAATCTTTGATAACCCATCTCTTTAAAACCACTTTTAAATTACAGTGGGTACTCTATGATGACCTCTGGATGTTTCACTAGGCTCTTATTTACTGTGAATTATTTTGAATACCGGTTTATTTGTGACATTATTATCTCAACAAATACTCTAGTTCCAGATCTATTGTCGTAAGGTGATCAAGAGAAATTTTTTTTCTTGACAGGGCCTCTTTAATTTTTTCATATAATTATTATAAGATTTTTTTACCGGTGCTTCGTCTCCTGGTCCTATGACACAGGCGCAGACTTTGAGGTAGCCTTTGGCCCCAGCCATCGTGTCACTGGCATCGCTAAGCAACAGCCATTTGTTGATGAGGGCGTGTTTCTGTTCTATAAACACCATCCCGATATCACACTGCAAATATGAAACAACTCAACTGTTATGTGTAACAAGTAATGCAGATACATATTTTTAAACTATTTTTATCAGAATATTAATTTTTCATTTGAGTAGTGAATAGCAAATCTGTGTCTAATTTATTTTATATGTATTTAAAAAGAATAAAAAGTCCTTATGTAGGGTTAAGATAATGAAAAAAATATCAGAAACAATAACAATGTTATTGCCGTGATTCAATAGTGGAATTAAGAACAAGAATTTGTTAATGCTGTTCGATTTGATATAAATAAGACATGTAGCCGAGATACAGCTCAATAAGTAAATAGAGAAATGTCCTCATTGATTGTTTAATGGTCTTTTTTACTTCTTTTTATTTAAATCAACCAGGAAGCATTCCATCCCTGTGTCACACACTTACCTTGAATGAGCCTATTAAAGCATCAGACCGCAGTCGTCTGGAGTTGAACACCTAAAAAATGTTCAACAAAAATAATCAGCTTCATAAAAACCAGAGTGGGGACAAACAGGGAGCCCTCAGTAACACAATGCCATATTTATCCTGCTGTAGGCCCAGGGGACAAACAAGGAGCCCTCAGTAACACAATACCGTATTTATCCTGCTGTAGGCCCAGGGGACAAACAAGGAGCCCTCTGTAACACAATATTGTATTTATCCTGCTGTAGGCCCAGGGGACAAACAAGGAGGCCTCAGTAACACATTACCATATTTATCCTGCTGTAGGCCCAGGGGACAAACACATCATCTCTGGACTGAAAGTAGGGCTTATTACATTTCTGTAAAACTACAGCAGATATGGACAAACCTGTATAGCATTGGTTAGTAAAACAATCAATTTCTAGTTAAGCTGAACAACATTAACATTTTTTTGTGTGTTACAAGATAAATAGAAATGCGACAGCTACACAAGGGTTCCTACCCAGGACTCCCCGACCTCTTTCACCAAAAATCGACCAAGTCCAGTTCTGCTACATTCGTGACATTTTGCAATATTATTATTCTGTCAAACAGGCATTACAACTGGGAAGAGTAAAAACATGTTTTGTTAAAAGACACATCATGTTGTCAATGACAAAAGTTAAATCCTAATTTTGTCATCAGTAGCGAATATTGTAAAACAGAACGAAACATTTAAATTTCAGTTCAGATAGAACTATCACCCTATCTCACCTGGAATTCTATGAGCTCATCAAACAGCTCTGCTGGTGAGCAATGGAAGTTAAAGAAGAACGACTCGTTAAAGTAGGGGCTGTTTGTTGACTTTTTCACTCGTGTCTGCTTGGTTTGATTGTATACTGTCACTTTACACACTGGCTGTATATTGGCGCCCTGGAGTTGTCGTGCCTCAATGATCTTCACTCGTACCTAAGAATATCAAGCACTTGGTTTACAAGACAAATTCCTTATAAGGAGTATCCATTTCAGGATTCCAAAGTGAGGCAAATCAAGAGAAGAAATACTGTATACAGGACATTTTTCGATGCATTTTAATTTTTGCCTTTTTTACGGAGGGCGAATTTATAATTACAGCAAACATTTGTAAACAACAAAATATACATACAGGAAGTAATTAACTGTGATGGGCAAATTTATTATTGGGTGAAAAGTGGATTTAACTGTCAAAGGGCAAAAATGTCCTGGTATTCAGTAGTCAAAATGGTCAGGAACTTGAAACCAAACTTGACCTTTCACATTTGATTACACTGACCTTTGGTGTTTCACCTCATTTAAAGAAACAATTCTCTTAAGTTTGTTTTTAAGGATTGTATTGAGGATGTTTTTGGTACATTTTTTTGTAAAAAAAAATTGCTGATCGATGAACAAAAACATTTTTTTTGTGTATAAAAGAAAAATATTTAGCCATGAAAATGAAAACTTTTCTTTCGGAAGTGGATAGAACAATGAATAATTTTAAAACGCCTTTCCCAAGTCTGTTTGTAGATAAATCATTGATTAGGACACTTTTCTGCGTCTGGTGAAATTTTATCCTCAATAGGATTACAGATTATCAAGTACAGTGTTCTGTGTTATTATTTATTATTTATTCCACGTAGTTGACATGATTACGTAAATACAGTATTCCTTTAATAACAGACAATGCTTGGTATTGACGAAAGACACATGTTACCAGGGCCTCTACTTCTTGACGACACTTGTCAATAATGTACATAGGTGTGTCAACAAAGCTTCAATTCATCATCAATAACATGCAACCTGCATCACGAGACAGCCAAGCCTGATATTAAACTTCAGGAAAGCCTTTATCTTGTAAGAAATCTTTAAATTCATCCTAAAAATTTGGTTTTATTTAATTCATGAATTTGTTAACCTAACACCACCAAATCATGATTTAATTATGAATTGTATTACAACAGGAAGATCAAAATCCACTGATAATGTAAATTTTAGTTTAGATTGCCTTTAGTTGCGAGAAATTTAATAGTTTGATCAATACTAAACCATTTCGGTCAATGCCTATTGTACATGTCTTTATTATATGCACGAAAAACATTTTATACAAAGTATTTGTGTCACATGTGTAGGCACTTCAAAAATTCCATAAATGTAAAAACAAATGTGACCCAGTTGTAGAGAATATATACAGCATTATACAGACTGAAACAAAGGTGTTATCTCTAACGAGGCCCCAGCAATAGGTCAAACAGATCACAGGTTTATGGGGTTTGTTGCTGAGTATTCTAATAACTTCAGAAACAGATGTCCAGAATATGTATGGATAAATATAAGGGTAACACTGCCCCGTTCCACTTCCTGGCAGGGCAGAATGAAATGGTTTACTGACAAGATGTGACAGGCTTGTAAATTCTCAATGTTTGTTTTGTTTGTGATTTACGTCCTATTAACAGCTATGACATGATAAATATTTAAGGACCTCAAAATCTCAATCTTAATGACCAAATTGTTATATTTTTATGTTATTATAATTATGAAAATCTTACAAAATAATGATGATCAGTCGATGGTACATATTTTTCATTTAGAAAAAATATGTTGGTGTATGCGTCACAATGAACATATAAAGTTTTGATGAAGAGTAATACCTGAAAGTCTGTAGCTTTAGTGGACAGATTTTTGAGTAAACCACGCCTGGGTGCCCTTCGCTTCTTTTTCTTTTTTGGCACAACTTGACCTGTGGCCGGGTCAATTACGGGAGGTCCTGGTTCTTCCTCTTCCTCCTCCTCCTCCATCTCTTCATTTCCAATTTCAGTCATATCTCCAACCACTTCAGATTGACTGGCTGTATAACATGATATTGTATACTGCTATTTTTCCAGTCTAGACTAAGTCAATGTTTGGTTACATGTATATCTATACTTCAAAAGTGGATATTTTTCGCAGGAATATAGATATATAGATTTCAGAACCATTGATAACATGAAAATTTCCACACCGTGATCAGTTTGAAATGCCATTATAGGAACATTTCCACACACAAAAATCACCATTTCTTATGGATCGGAAACTCCATGGCTCAGTTATTCTAAGGCTTTTAGTAAGTTCATTGACATTCAATCTTACGTTTTATCTTGTGTATATTAAGGTTCAAACTAAAAGTAGAGGGATAGGAATGAAATTGATTATCGAAAGACAAACAAACACAGGTGTATGAAGGTGTGTTAAAGAAATAACTTACTGACAGCCGCCACACCTGCAGACTTTGCAGCCCCCGCAGGAGGTTTGTACGACAGCTTCATATTTATCTGTGATGACTGAAAAACACACCGTTTAACTTCATCATAAGTGACACATTCAAATAATGTCTACCTTCAAATTGTAGAGTCATTTGTTTCCTCAGAATTTATAACCACACTGAAAATGTTTAAGTAAATCCTTTATATTGATATGTATCTTACACAAGATGTGTTTTAATACCAGTAAAACATGGATCCCCTGTTAAGTCAATTTCACACCTTGTGATCGATTGCTTCAAATTGTGTGCAATATATCATCAATCAGCACTGTTATTGTAATACAAATTTTCTACGATAAGAAAAAGGTCTACATTCTACATTCAATATAGGACCTGTGTACACTCACGGGCAGGCAGACATTGTTTTTGTCATTAAGGTTTGACGAGAGCTGCTCTGATCCTTTCCTAATGAGGTTACGGAGAGGAATCGTCACCTGACCGAGCAGTCTGTAATACAAATAACACATGGTACAACTCATATATTCATATTGATATATAGTGATATATATCATCAAACACATTATATGAATAAATAATAAAATAATAAATAATATACATCATTAAACTATACAGGTCCTGAAGAAGCCCACTGTTTGGGCGAAACCGGTAGACATACCCAATAAATAAGATTCAACTTATCCTGAGCTTGTTGCGATTGACTCCTACTCTTATATACATCATTTGATATAGCCCCCTATCCAACTAACATAACTAAGCCACTCTAAAGCGATTTATAGTTCATAGACATACAATGCAATTAGCATATACATTAATCAATACAATTTTTGAGGAATTAGCAGGAGCTGCCTTATCATGCGCAAACTACTAGTCCTATGCCACCTGGCTATTATCTCCCTATGTGTGTATGCCTATGTCATTGTGTGTACGGGAGGTGTATTGTGTTCTGTTTGTAGTGGGACCATGCTTCCAACGGTATCATTCATAGTGCCACCTCACTTGAATGCTACAGCACAGATACCACAACATCCACCACAGACCAATTTATTCTCCACCTGGGTTATTGGAGTTGTGTGGGCATGACAAAAACACTTTCTCTGAATATCCATGCGTACTATATGAAGGGAACAAGGGGCTTTATATCAAGGTTTCCTGTATGGGATAGATTAGGGCCTTTCTATTGAGGTTTTACTGTATATCATAATTGGGGGGGNATTATATTGAAGTTTAACTGTATATCATAATTTGGGGTGTTATAGTGAGGTTATATTGTATAGTATGAATGAGGGGCATTATATTGAAGTTTTACTGTATATCATAATTGGGGTGTGTGATAGTGAAGTGTTATTGTATAGTATAAATGAGGGCATATTAAAGCTTTACTGTATATCATAATTGGGGTGTGTGATAGTGAAGTGTTATTGTATAGTATAAATGAGGGCTTATATTGAAGTTTTACTGTATATTATTATTGGTGTGTGTGGTAGTGAGGTGTTATTGTATAGTATTAATGAGGCCATTATATTGAAGTTTAACTGTATATCATAATTGGGAGGGGGTGGGGGATAGTGAGGTGTTATTGTATATAGTATAAATGAGGGGCATTATATTGAGGTTTTATTGTATATTATTATTGGGGTTTGTGATAGTGAGGTGGTATTGTATAGTATAAATGAGAGTATTGAGGTTTTACTATATCTTATAAATGAGGGCATTATATCGAAGTTTTACTTTATATTATAAATGAGGGCATTATATTGAGGTTTTACTATATATTATAAATGAGGGGCATTATATTGAGGTTTTATTGTATATTATTGTTGGAGTTTGTGATAGTGAGGTGTTATTGTATAGTATAAATGAGGGGCATTTTATTGAAGTTTTACTATTTATTATTATTGGGGTGTGTGATAGTGGGGTGTTATTGTATAGTATAAATGAGGGGCATTTTATTGAAGTTTTACTATTTATTATTATTGGGGTGTGTGATAGTGAGGTGTTATTGTATAGGATAAATGAGGGATTATATTGAAGTTTTACTGTATATTATTATTGGTGTGGGTGGTAGTGAGGTGTTATTGTATAGTATTAATGAGGCCATTATATTGAAGTTTAACTGTATATCATAATTGGGAGGGGGGGGGGGGTAGGGGGGTGTTATTGTATATAGTATAAATGAGGGGCATTATATTGAGGTTTTATTGTATATTATTGTTGGAGTTTGTGATAGTGAGGTGTTATTGTATAGTAGAAATGAGGGCATTATATTGAAGTTTTACTTTATATTATTATTGGGGGGTGTGATAGTGAGGTGTTATATTGTATAGTATAAATGAGGGAATTATATTGAGGTTTTATTGTATATTATTGTTGGAGTTTGTGATAGTGAGGTGTTATTGTATAGTATAAATGAGGGATTATATTGAAGTTTTACTGTATATTATTATTGGGGTGAGTGATAGTGAGTTGTTATTGTATAGTATAAATGGGGGCATTATATTGAAGTTTTACTGTATACCATAATTGGGGTGTGTGATAGTGAAGTGTTATTGTATAGTATAAATGAGGGCTTATATTGAAGTTTTACTGTATATTATTATTGGGGTGTGTGATAGCGAGGTGTTATTGTATAGTATAAATGAGGCGCATTAGATTGAAGTTTTACTGTATATTATTATTGGTGTGGGTGGTAGTGAGGTGTTATTGTATAGTATTAATGAGGCCATTATATTGAAGTTTAACTGTATATCATAATTTGGGGTGTTATAGTGAGGTTATATTGTATAGTATGAATGAGGGGCATTATATTGAAGTTTTGCTGTATATCATAATTGGGGTGTGTGATAGTGAAGTGTTATTGTATAGTATAAATGAGGGCATATTAAAGTTTTACTGTATATCATAATTGGGGAGTGTGATAGTGAAGTGTTATTGTATAGTATAAATGAGGGCATATTAAAGTTTTACTGTATATCATAATTGGGGAGTGTGATAGTGAAGTGTTATTGTATAGTATAAATGAGGGCTTATATTGAAGTTTTACTGTATATTATTATTGGGGTGAGTGATAGTGAGTTGTTATTGTATAGTATAAATGGGGGCATTATATTGAAGTTTTACTGTATACCATAATTGGGGTGTGTGATAGTGAAGTGTTATTGTATAGTATAAATGAGGGCTTATATTGAAGTTTTACTGTATATTATTATTGGGGTGTGTGATAGCGAGGTGTTATTGTATAGTATAAATGAGGGGCATTATATTGAAGTTTTACTGTATATTATTATTGGTGTGTGTGGTAGTGAGGTGTTATTGTATAGTATTAATGAGGCCATTATATTGAAGTTTAACTGTATATCATAATTGGGAGGGGGGGGGGGATAGTGAGGTGTTATTGTATATAGTATAAATGAGGGGCATTATATTGAGGTTTTATTGTATATTATTATTGGGGTTTGTGATAGTGAGGTGGTATTGTATAGTATAAATGAGAGTATTGAGGTTTTACTATATCTTATAAATGAGGGCATTATATCGAAGTTTTACTTTATATTATAAATGAGGGCATTATATTGAGGTTTTACTATATATTATAAATGAGGGGCATTATATTGAGGTTTTACTGTACAGTATAAATCACTCAGAGGGGCATTATATTGAGTTTAACAGTATTGTATAGCTAATACGCATTATATTGAGTTTAACAGTATTGTATAGATAATACGCATTATATTGAGTTTAACAGTATTGTATAGATAATACACATTATATTGAGGTTTTACTTTGTAGTATAAATAAGAGGCATTATATTAGGCTGTACAGTAAAGTATAAAACACAAACATCATTACATGTACACTAACTAACATATGGATCAGATCCACTTAAAACATAGGACACAGGCTCCACTCAATGCATAGGGCACAGCTTCACCAGTTAACATTTAAGTGGTGAATAAAATGCAATATCACAGAAGGTACTTACTATTAAGAGAGAAAGTATTATAAAAATTTCCTGTATGATCTTTGCCAGTCAAAAATGGCGAACACACATCAAGAAGATGACAACGTTATGCAGCTTGTGATGCACAAGTGTTGTTAATCAATTGATTTTACAGTAAAAGTTTCAATGTACATGTACATGGTGTTTCAGAAGCATCTGTTACAAATTCATATGAAATATATCTTCTTATATCTGCTCAGGCATTTTAAATTAATTTTATTGATTATAGGGAGATTTTTTTTATCTTAAGGTATGAATTAAAGATGACTGAATCCCTTACTCAGAATGACAAAGCTAAATTCATTGTACAAGTAGAAAATGCTTGTTTGTGATCCTTAAATTTGACAGCTGGCCAACATTAATCTAACTATGTAGGAAGAAAGTGGATTTCTTTTTACAAAATTGTAGACTTCAACTTTAATAATAAATTGAGAGATTTTGTCTGGGTGATTACGACATGATGAGAAATACTATACAGTAATTTATGTATTGCATGAGGGAAACATTAAAATTTCTTTCCGTGTGAAATCATGTACCTCAAGGATGAGGGGAGAAACACAAGGGAAACATTATTTTTTCTTTCCCTATAAAATAGTCATGTTCCTCAATGGAGAGGAGAGAAGCACAAGAGAAACATTAATATTTCTTTCCCTGTGATTAATCATGTTTCCATAAGGAAAAGACAGAAGCATGATTGTAACATATTTTTTTTTTTTTGCATAATGTTTTTCCCCAGTGGCAATTAGAGATGTGTGAGGGAAACATGATTGATGGTGGGAAAACATATATGCATGTCTCCCTTGAGGGGAGATAACAGGGGATTTTCTTTTATACCAAAATAGAAAATATACACAAGAGTTTTAGACAAGAATATCTCATTTTGTGATTTATGTACACAGCAGGCATAATGGCATGTGATACACAGAGGATGTAAATCTATAACAATAACAGATGCATATTAATTCAATTTGTGGAAAGTGGATAAATAGCTCTTTCAGATTCTACATCAATTTTCCACAATTACTGTGTATTAGTAACATATTTTACCAGCAATAAACCCTGGGGTATTGAGTTAGTCCTTAAATACAGTATATGAAACTGACTTTTCATTATTTCTGAAGGACATGACCCTCATTTGTAAATTCTGTTTCACAATGGAGGTGGTCTTAAAAACAGATTAGTAAGATATCTGTTGATGGCTGGTTTCAGTTTTGAGGTACAGCTTGGACTAAAAGTCTATGATACTATAGTAGTTCCATTCCAGCATGAGTCCCTGATGAGGTTTGTTAGGGACTGTTGGGGACTGTTAGGGACTGTTGGGGACTGACAGGGACTGGCGGGGACTGTTAGGGACTTCCAGGACTGTCGGGGACTGTTAGGGACTTCCGGGACTGTCAGGGACTGTCAGGGACTGTCCGGGGACTGATAGGGACTGTCCGCTGACTGATAGGGACTGTTAGGGACTGTCCGGGACTATTGGGGACTGTTCGGGACTGATAGGGACTGTTAGGGACTGTCGGGGACTGCTGTACCTGTTCCTGCCGACCCTTTCCCAGTCTTTGATGGTGACCTTAAGCTCATCACTGTCGGTTAAGGCTAGACCACTTAGGTCAAACTCGAACGTCTGTAACAAAAACACAACACATCAAGACCAATAAAATAAAAAGGTTTTAAACTGAATGATTTTTATGATTTATTGTTAATAAATTGTTCAACTGACAAAGCTTAGACTAGCTGGCATTGACATCTGGATCTTTGTATATGCAATCATGAACATCCTGAAATAACAAACACAGTTCTGCCTGATGAGGCTTCTGATACACTATACACTAGTTTTTGCAGCAACCTAAGCTTAGACAGTATCAATGTGAGACTTCCATGTTAGCCACGTACATGTAACAACGTGACCTGTGCTGCCCCCTGGATCCTCGTCTTGGTACATTTACCTCAGGGACAGCCTACGTAAACCGTTTCGCAACCACTTCAATTTAATTGAATTAATGACTAGTACCATGACATTCAGTGCCATTTATATAAGCCAACTGTTGCATATAGTAGCAGGCAATCTAGATCTATTGTAACAAAGAGTTGTTCTACAAATAAGTACAGTCCAGCGAGACTGTGATCAATGATTCCATTAATACATATTATTCTGTGTAATTATCAAACGGAAGAAACATATTATTTATTTGTAGCAAACAATGATTTAATAGTGACAAATAAAGCTAAAAGTTAAAATGGTGTCTACAAACAGACATTAACAGACAGTTCTATAACCCACACCCACTCACTATACACTTTATCAAGATCGAGGGTGGGGGGGCAAGGGGTATGAAAGTGTCTCCATTCAAGAACTTTTTTATATTAAAAAATATGATATTCCTACTGTCAAAATGTCATAGAATGAAAGGTAATAATTAGATAAGTTTAATTTGTCCTATCTGTATATGTTAGTGTCCTAATATAAAAATAAAATCTACACACTCATACTGGCAAGTATAAGAGAATTAGAATCACCCAAAAGATTTCTTTTACTGAGCCCAACATGTACACTAGATAACATTTCTAGTTAAAACTGGTTTTCTAATCCACATCTACATGGTAGCTAGCTGTCTGTGTGGAGAAAGCTGACTCAGATGTTTATATTATGTCTGTAAGATGCCACACCCCTTTTAAAGAGTTCAATGATATAGTGGTAGACCAGGAACACAATATACATGGTGTACCAGTAAACACCCTCTACCTTAAATACTCTGGTAATTTCTCCACTATCTAAAATTAATTTTACCTGAAATAATCTGTTAATTTCTCCCCTTAGCTTAAATCCTGTTAATTTCTCCCTATATAACACATTAACCTTAAGGTAAATCCTCCTTTAATTTCTCCCCTAAATGACATTTTACAATCTATCCCATAATTTATCTATATTGAATTACATTTCAGAAACGGATTAGGTTTGGTATCAATAACAGCTATGATCTCTGTGCCAGATCACAGGTGTATACATGATGTACAATAAAAGTCAAGCATATATAATCTCAACAAGTCCCTGAAGACCATCTCTGTTCAACCAAAACCTATTTAAAAATTATAAAAAAAAAAACATCTATAAATTATGAACACCACATAAAACCAATGCAATATTTAACCTGTATATAGGAACCAGATAAAACCAGTACAACTTTTACCTGTATATATGGACAAGATAAAACTAATACAATTTTTACCTGTATATATGGACAAGATAAAACTAATACAATTTTTACCTGTATATAAGGACCATATAAAACCAATAGTGTTTACCTGTATAAGGACATTTATACAAATACCTGGTAATAAAGGTAATCTCTCTCAAATTCATATTTATCTGTATGCATCCGACTCAAACCAAACCTAAATTATCAGACATCTTCATCAAACAAGAACCTGTCTAAAAGGACCTGATCTATCAAACCATAACCTGTCTATAAAGACATCTCCATCAAACAAGAACCTGTCTATAAAGACATATATATCAAACCAGAACCTGCCTGTAAAGACCTTATTTATCAAACCAGAACCTGTCTGTAAGACATGAATGCCCCCCCCCCGCCACCATATGAAATTAGTTTCAGTGTTTGATGTTCTATAAATAGTTACAAACACTTTGATGTTGATACCCTGAAATATGTTGGCCTTAACCTTGGAACCATCAAACACAAAAACAATGTCCGAGGTATTCTGTGTAAAAAGGTTCATCAAAAACCTGTTTAGAAATGAAGTAGCTAGAGTGATGACTGATGACACTGAATCGGTTGACGATTTTCTATATAAAGCAACCATGACCTTGGAACCCTGAAACACAACGATGTCCCAGGTATACTCATACTTGACCTTTGTATAAAGTTTGACGAAAATCTGTGAAAGAATGAAGTATGAAGTCCCCCCCC